TTGGTGCCGGGAGGCACGTATAGCCGCCCATACTAAAATATGTTAATAAAAAGTTGGTAGGCAGTTCTTTTAGTTTCAATGTAAAGGAATTTTTCCAATTTTTTTTATCTCAAAAACTGCGACTTCGACTGATTTCGATGTTGTTACAAATTTTGTTGCAAATATTATTGCTAATCTTAAATTGAAAACCGCGTCACTGTAATTTTGGAGTTACGATTTTTTAAAATGTTCATCCCCCTCCCATCACCAACCCCCCACCCCCTCAAAAAACTTATGGCTAGAATCTCGGGTGCCACAGTATTTTTGTGCCAAAATTGGTTAAAATCGGTTTAGCGGTTTTTGAGTTATCGTGTTACAGACGGACAGACATTTTGAGCGAAATTAAAAAAACTTTTTTTTTGCCGATCTTAATAGCTTACCATACCTATTGGTATGGTCGGCTAATGCCATACAGAGTAAGTCTCAAAAAAATACAAATATTTTCAGGGCTTTTATTTTCATCTTTTGTTGAAAAAAAATATTTTTTCTCTGTCATTTTTCAAATAAATCCAAAAGAGCTGAGTTATCTTAGTTTCAGAATTTAAAAAGAGAATTGATTTAAATTTCTTAAATTTTCAGAACCACTTCCTACTTATTTGAATGATAAATCGATTATCTAGAATCAATATTTATTTAATCACTATCTTAAATATACTTATAGTTTTTTCTTAAACATAGTTTTAAGACGACCCAGTCACTTCAAATAATATTAGATTCTAAGAAATTAAATTAAAAAACTTTACCAGGGCACTTAACAGAATTGAATTTGAAATTAACAAAATTGAACTATACACAAGAAGGTAAAAAAGTCCATAGTAACAATAGTAATATTTACATTCAACTTTGAAACCACTGTTATTTTTAGAATATACTGGTTTGCAGCTTTTTTAAAGCTCTCTCAAAAATCTAATATCAAGATTTTTACATTATACGTACCGTAAAATAGTATCTTCTTTAAAATTCGGCTTAACAAAATATGCAATGTTGTTTAATATACACGGTGAGTCTTAAATAAGTGCAAATATTTCCACAGCTGATAGATCTCTATAAAAGAAATTTATTTTCTAAACAAAATACGAGTAGCTGAAAAAGGGGCCAAAAAATCCTACATATATGCTTATTCTCTGCATTAGGGATGCACGATTCGAATCGATTTTAATCGAAGATCGATCTTTTTGCCCAAAATATCGATTAAAATCGATCGATTTTTATCAAACGATCTTTTGGTAGAATCGATCTTTTTTCAAAATCAAAGATCGATTTTATTTATACATTTTTACAGGTTTATTTATTTGTTAAAATCTTTGAATAAGAAGATTAAGGAAGGAGCATATCAAAAATCTTAGGTACACCGCGATGGGCCTCAAATATGGCCGACTTAAATTCCGGTTTATCAGTGCCGTTCTAATTTTATTTAAAAAATGTAAAACTATGATGTAGGGTAGACGTGGGGTAGACTCAATAATTTGTTATTTTATTTTACGTTGTGAATAAATGTTGGTAGTTATTAAAATTGTTATAAAAATATATAATTCTAATAAAAATAGTTATAATAAGTATTTATTAACACAAACATCCGATACGCTACTGAAGCAGGTAAGTCAAATTAACGTATCAAAATTCTTTGACATCTGATCTTTGACAAGTAGTAAATAAAAGCTAAAATGCAAGAAAATATATAATTTAGTTAATTTAAGTGAATTTCTTAAATGATCGGTTTACTACACGTATGTATATTATATGTATAGTCACTTACTAGCGAAAAGTTGTTCCATTATTTCACTCAATTTTTGCCGAGATCTACCGCACGCTACACAACCAACTATTTTAGAGTCTTTTTCGATAAATCGCGATAATGTCACTGTTAATTTAAGTTCTGCCACAATTTCCATCTACATTTACTACCTTTATACAACTATCAGTAGTAGAATAAATAATAAATAACATAAAATAAGCTCCGTAAAGACTGACAAATCCACAAAATTTCAAATCAAATTCAAATGTGTCAAATGAATCGTGAAACAGAACTGTCAAGGATCCCCACCCTAGAGAGCTTTTTCCGCCCACCATGCATGAATACATGGATAGCATTATGCTCATTCCTTAGTGTTAAAATAAAAAAAACACTTTAGTTTCTGGTTTTGCTTGAATATTTGATTCCAGTGCATCTCTAATAACAACTACAGCGAACCTAACCAAAATTCCGCCATCTAGCAATGAATTGAAAAATTAAGTGTACGTGCTCGTTACCGCATGCGCCGATGTCTGTTTACCACTTTGATATTAGGTGTCAGATTTTTGTCGGTGATTCCCATATTTTTATATTTTAGATAACAGAATATTTTTTGATTTTAGCTTCTTTCCAACCGACTGATATATCAAAATTACAGAATTTACCGGTACATATTCTGTGTCAAAATCATCATAAGCATGCAAAAAGCCGAATAATTATATTTTAACATTGTCATAGTATTTTTAATTTTTACAAGTATGTCTCGGTTTGTGGGTGGCTCTGATTCAGTTTGGGATGACTGTCATTCAGTTTCAATTTTAAATGTGTTAATAAACGGTTTTACGATTTTTATGTATCTAATTTTTTTATGATTATATCGTATTTTTATTATACCAGTACACCAATACATTCAGAATCGAATATCGATATTTAATAAGATCGATCTTTTGTTACCGATTTTTTTCTGGTTCGATCTTGTTATGGCCGATCTTGAATCGATTCAAAATATCAATTTATTTTATTTTTGGGACATCCCTACTCTGCATTAAGTTCATCAGACCGAAGGGAACAGCCATTCGACGACCGGTTTCGGAGATTTTTCTCCATCGTCAGGGCGACTTTGCTGTAACCCTCGATCCATAGACAAACAAATAAAAAGAGACTGGCAAATTAAATGGCAAAGAGAGGGACAACGTTCCCGTAGCGCAACTCAGAACGCAAAATTTCGTTCTATTTATGTTGATCTGCGCATTGCGTCCATTGGGCCCACTATCTCATTCTAATATAACAAGAGAGAAAGAAGCAGCCATATAAAACGTAATTTCTAAATAGAAATTAGAACAATCGCTTTTCGTTTTCGTTATCATGACAACCAAGATGACAAATCATGACAATTCGTCATATTTGTTAATTTTTTTTGGTGATTTACCTTTTTTTCTAAACTCTCCATTTTATTGACTTATGAATATGGATAGGGAACAAATTCTTTTGTTCCAGATAGGTATTTATATTTTCTTACTTATAATTTTAGGTTTTACTATTTGTTATTTTATTTGCTGCAGGAGCCAGTATCGTCTATTTTTTTATATGTATTGGTACCCCCTTTCTCTGATAGATATGTTAAACACACCCGGTAAAATAAAAGTAAGTAGTTATATTTATCATCTTATTAAGAAAAAAGTAGAAGTAGTAGTGTCAAAAATATTTCGAACCCCCTTTTTTTTGGTCCCACTCTTTACCATGGGATTTGTCAGTCTCTTTTTATTTGTTTGTCTATGCCTCGATCTGACCAACGAAAAGCAGAGAATAGCATTTGAGTAATGTACTGCTATGGCGAGAGTTCTCTGCGCCATCTAGCGGCAGCTGTGACAATCACAGATCGTACCGCCAAAATTAAAACCAGCGGCCTACTGGACAAACATGCTTGCTTCATCCGCGTTACCGTAGATGGAGCTAAGAAGGCTTATGTAGGGTATATATAAATAAACAAAATACGAGTAGCGGAAAAAGGGACCAAAAAAAAATGTTGGCGGTACGATCTGTGATTGTCACAGCTGCCGCTAGATGGCGTAGAGCGTCTAGCACTCGCGCCATAGTAGTACGTTTTGTACTCAAATGCCATTCTCTGCTTTTCGTTGGTCAGATCGAGGGTTACAGCAAAGTCAGCCTGACGATGGAGAAAAATCTCCGAAACCGGTCGTTGAATGGCTGTTCCCTTCGGTCTGATGAACTTAATGCAGAGAATAAGCATATATGTAGGGTTTTTTGGCCCCTTTTTCCGCTACTCGTATTTTTTTTAATTACTCCATCTACGGTAATGTGGATGAAGCAAGCAAATTTATTTTCTCTCTGTCGTTTTTTAAATCCAAGTCCAAAATAACCAAGTTATTTTACTTTGAAAATTTAAAATAAAAATGATTTTTTGCTTAAATTTTGACCACCACTGGATTTTTTCTGGGTTTCCTTCCTTGTAAAGTTAATTTACTTATGGTGCCATTATTATCAAGATAGTATAGGTATTTTTTACTGAAAATTAGAAATATTTCCAAAATTTTGTTTGAAAAAAAACATATATTTAAAAAAAATATTTTCAAAAAAAACTCATAGACTGGTTTCTGCGGTCAAATACACCACCCCTAAAAAGATTTGCAGTTATATTATAATCACCCATGTATAGAGGGTGAGTCAAAACTAAATGTTGATTTTTTTACCACTGTTACTATTCACCCTGTATTTTTTATCATAAGCAAACTGAGTTTTATTTAATCCTTTTATTTTATTAAGCACTTTTATATACCTAAATTATTATACGATATTTATTGCGAATATTCTGTTTTTTTTTCAATATTTGACTTGATTTTTGCTGATTTAGGGCTCAAACGCACTGACGACCATCAGGTCGCAGCGACCAGCATTTAATTTAATGTTATAGCAAACAGTGCAGATTTAATGTTATAGCAAACAAAATGTTACAGTCCCTAAATTTAAACATTTAAAGATGATATTTGTAAAAAGTAAAGATGTCCATTGTCAGTGAGGGCGAGCATCCAGATCTAACAAGAGAGAATATATGACAGTAACAATTATTGCTGTATGTCATTTTAATTTAAAAACGGGTTTGTTTTTTTACTATCATTTTCATATGTATTCAGTCGAAATCATATATTCTTTTACTGAACGAACTATACTTAAAATTGTTTAAGTCGTTTTCTATTAGAGTATTGATTATTTTTATTTACAAATTTTTGATTACAAATCACTATATATTTTATTTAAATTATATTAGGTTTATTCATATACAACTGCTTCTTCAAAAATACTCCTTTAAATTTCGAACAGTTCCTGGACAATATTTCCTAGCAAAATCCAGATATGGTACGTCATCATTTATGGGTATTTTTTTATCGGCACTCAGTTTATTCCATACATGTATCAGAAAACTATTTTTCGTTTTTTCCTTAACACTGGCAAGTTGACTACTGTCGTAGAAACGTTGCCAAGCAGGGTAAGGTATTGCATAAAAAGCATCTATTGGATATATATGGAAATCTTCACAAGACGTGTCAAAAAAATCCTTCACGCTGCCATTGCACAGTTTACTTGCAAATCTAAAAGAAAAATAATATACAGAGAAGACCAGGCTACTAGTAACACAGCAAGTTGCCGGACGAATTTACGTTTAACCGTTTTGCGTTCGTACTCGAGATTCACTGCCGGTTAGTCGGCTGGTCAGGCAGTACGCAGTTGCAGTTGTGCTTGGACGGGTCGGTCATGACAGACTAGGAATACGACTCGAGGAGTGCCGAGTATTTATTATTTTCATTTTAAGTGTTTACCTTCACTTAAGGTAACATTTAAAATGAAAATACTTAAATATTTATTATTTGAGTGTGTTTACAAGCCAAAACTAAAAATAAATAAGTTCTCTAAACCCAAAAAAAACTAAAATATTACTCTAACTAAAAAAAGTTATAAAAAGTGTTTAAAAAGACCATCTTCTTGTGCTAGATAGAAGCCTAGGCGGTCGTAAAATTCCCGTCTGACATTGGCTAACATATTAAGGTGCGTATTCATTATCCGAACGAACGAATGAAAGTGCGGTATATTTAGACGGGGACCGAACGCATGCGGCCGTTCGTTCGGTCGTGCGCTCGACCATCCGCTTCGAGTCGGTACACCAAAGGCGTTCGCCTGCGTGCGCTTTCAGATTTAAGGTGCGTATTCATTATCCGAACGAACGAACGAACGAACGAAGAAAGTGCGGTATATTTAGACGGGGACCGAACGCATGCGGCCGTTCGTTCGTTCGTGCGCTCGACCATCCGCTTCGAGTCGGTACATCAAAGGCGTTTAGACGTCATGGTACAAAGAATACAAGGTATGCTCGATAGCGGCTCCAATTTCGTTCAGTTCGCGCATACCACCTGTGACGTCACTAGGAAAATAATGAATAAATAAAAAATAAAGAAAGTTGACAGGAGATCTGCATTTTTGAGGTTATGGTTAAGAATTGTTTATTTTTAAGACTTTTTAGTTCGTTTAATTTAATAATTACTAAAACCAGCAGTTCCAAAAATATATTTAAAAATAATAATTATCTATTAACATGGATTTGGACGATAATAGGTAAAAATACTAAATTTATTTCTATATTCGGTATAAAATTGTTTATTAGGTTTTTAGTTTGCGATGTTTATGGTAAATAATTTTCATTTTCATTGCCTCTGAATTCACATGAGGACAGAGTTGAGGATATCTATGGAAAAGTAACCACAAGAGGAATTGTTACATCATTTAAAAAATGTTGGGAAGTTTATTGTTTCCCATCGAAAAGTAGAAAATGCCAATGCAGATGAACGTATTGTAATTGTGATAGAAGTAATTCTAAGGGTGAAGTTTATTATAATTAGTGGAAGTAATACCAAGGGTGAAGTTTATTATAATTAGTGACCTGTGCTTCTTTTTATATGTAGATGTTTCTGGTTTTGAGAATAAATCGGTTGAACGACACCCAAAATTTAAAGGAAGTATTTGCATACCCAGAATATGCCCATCAAGGATTATATAGCTCAAATTTCCTTTAATGGTAGGCAATTATTCAATGCAAATTAACTTTTTAAGTGACTGAAATATTAAATAGTTTACAATATGGTATATCACTAAAAATATATTACTTTTAGGTACAATTAGGGCCCGATACATTTCAAAAAGTAGAATATTATTTTATATTAAATGAGGTATTGTACTAACAATCAATTTATATTAATAACGGAGATTAAAAATAACAGAATAAATAGTTCTTTTTCTTATACTACAAAAATAAACTATAGAATACAACAGTATTTAAAAAAAAATTAAAAGTGATGTTCCGGCCGAGATTCGAACTCCGGTCTCTCGCTTCCTAGCCCGACTCCTTATGCACTGCTCCATAGTAACTTGCTTAGCGATAATTCAATGACGGTATATAAACAAAAAAAAACAGGTTTATAACAATATCTTGACGATTTGAACTGGCGCGCGAATGAAGAAATGCGTGCGGTCTTCTCGTGCGGTTCTATCGTGCGGTCCCCGTCCATACCACTAGCGTACGTTCGTTCGTTCGTTCGTTCGTTCGTGCGGATAATGAATACGCACCTTTAGGGCTAATAGTTTAGAAAACTTATCGTATTTTTTACTTGAAGCTCATCCAGATTATTAGCCCTATTATGACCATACACTTTGGATTTTACATAACCCCATAAAAATAAGTCATTGGGAGAAAGATCTGGTGATCTAGCGGGCCACAAAATAGTCCCATATCCACTAATTAAACGGTTGGAAAAAGTATTGTTCAAATATTCGTAAACAATACGGGCATTATGGGCAGGACAACCACCTCAGCAATTTGATTACTTGAAAACGTGGGATTTTGATCCGCGGTAGCACAAATGTACACTTGTTTTAACTCCTGTTCTTTATTAATCAACATATCAGGCTTTTTGTGTTTTTGTGCGAACACGCACCCATGTGTTTCAAAATTATTAATAGAGAACAATGGTATACGGTCGAGTCGGCCGCTGCTGGCACGTATACGTAGACGTAAAGAATCTTTTACGTGTATAAAAAATAAAAAATATAAAAAATGCGCATGCGTACGTAAACGTTTACGTGTTTGTAGGCCGACTCGACAGTATGCCGTTGTTCTCTAATAACCAGGGCTCAGTCACTCTTATGGAGCATTAAATTACAAATTGACGATTCGGCCCACTATAGATGGTGCTAATTTACGTCGTGTATATATGGTTGCAGAACAGTTCTTCGTGTATGTATGGTTGCTTCAAACGTTACGATTGGTTCGGTCTTTAAATTCATTTTATGAATTTTGCGATTGATTTCCCTTTTCCGTCCACACAGTACTTCAAATACTCCTATATTTATGCTTCAAACTATATTTAAGCTGCCTTTATTTTGTTTTTAATACAAAATGTATTTCTCGTGCTTTTTGTATTCCAACTTTTTCATATTATATTATTCAAAGGTAGCCATATTTCTTGGTGCTTCTTGAATTATACAACTGTGATGAACTGCAACGAGATGAATTTTCAAAGTATAAGCAGCCTCTAGGATAAATTTTACATATCCGTTGTAGCAGGCTGAATTCATAATTTATTACCACAAAGATATAATTCTCGTCAAGATATCTGGTGGTGTAGGGGATAAGGCTCTCGTCTAGCAACACGAAGGTAGCCGGTTCGAATCGTGCCGCCGACACGACTTTTTTATTTAATAAATAATTATTTTGACCTTGAAGCCCTGAGCCGCACTCGGCCCACTATAGATGGCAGCAAAAATTTTGTTCGCTTTTTTATTACATTGACTGATCGTTCTGTAGTTATTCTGTGCTAATAACTCTTGATACAGTAGGTAAAGATGGAATTGGCCTGTCTACAAAAGTTTGTCAAAAATTGTTTGTATATCCCGATAAGACCTATTTTGGAAATACCATTTTACAATTTGAATTTTCTCACGAACTTCGTAAACATCCATTATTTTACTTAAAAAATAAATTTTACACGAGAACTGTCGCGAGAATCTATGTATTCGTTTTGGCTATTAAAACACGAATAAATACAAATTCTGAAACATTCTTATCACATATCTACCTATTTTTATTTTATCGCATTTTTTCGCCTGCTTTTTATCCGGCGGACGGGTATACGCTAATTCGTCCGGTTCTGCCTATGATACTACTACGGTGGTCCGGTCTGTATACTGCTATGGACGTATTTCCATCATTAATTCGCCTCGGATTATACGAAAACGGAAAATATGTGGGAAGGCAATGTGCATAATTTAAAATTATTTTGAAATGTACAGGGTGTGTTAGAACTAAGATCCATACCAAAGTTATATTTTTTCTTATGAAACACCCGATATTTTATTTCATTTTTGGATTCTTCGGCATAAAATAAGGCATTTATTATAAGGATTTAATTTGTTTAAAAGCTTTGGTTTTTGAGATATTTAAAGATATTTAAATATGCATGCTATAATAAAAAAGTTTGTAAACACCTTGTATATTACTGTTCAGAATTAATTCTCGTGCTAACTTTCAAGCCAGAGAAATAAACTTTACTAAATAATTTGATTGCTTTCTTAAATGTATATGTTGGGGGCAGATGCCGAATTCGGCATATAGCGATTATAATTAAATATACCTACCTATATCCACAAAGTTACGCGAAAGAGTTCTGATTGCATTGGTTTCAACTTCTATGCGGAGGATGTTAATCTTTTGTTGTTATATTATACCAAAAAAAGATTAACCCCCTCTGCAAAGAAGTTATATAAAGACTATTTATAACCACGAAGTTGCACGCGTCTGGCAAGTATGAACAAATCACCATATGTCTAATTATTTCGGACATAGGCCGAATTTGGCATCTGCCTCCAACATAAAAACTTCGTTATTTTAAATACAACACTATGTATTTTTTTAAATAAGTCGAAGCAGATTTAAATTCTCTTTCAAACTATATTAGGGTTTACTATATCAATCTAGCTCAGATTTTAAATAAAAAGCGATTTATCAATAAATTTGTAATCAAGATGGCTGGTGTCGCCATGGCAATTTTCTAGTGGCACTTAAGTAGCTATTTTCAAAATCGACACTGAATGTTTCTAGTGATTTTATTTTGTGAGGACAATTGCTTGTTGGCCTGAAGTGTTTATGCTCAAAGATATCCAAATAGGAATTTTCTTGACAAGCCTTCCTTTGAAAAACTACTTTTCTTATTTCGCAGAGCTGATAGTGTGGTATATGAAAAACCTATTAGGCAGAAATCTGTCGTTGTAAGTGAAGAAAATGATTTATCTCGATTCAAGTTAAAGAAAGTTTTTCAAAGATATTTTTAAACTTCAATGGGGAACAATAGCGAACATAAATATATGGTTTAAGTGAAAACCTATAATGTGTCCAAAGATGTCTTTCAGGAAAATATTTTCACTTGTACAGCCAGGTTCCAATAAAATTGAATACGATTTAAAACATATTTTTATTATTTCGGGCAGTATATTCTATGATACCAATCCCCTATTTCTCTACTCATGTCATGCTGACGTTCTGAAAAATTTATCTGCCACTTTGTCAAAAGCTTTGAATAAGAAGACTAAGGAAGGAGCATATCAAAAATCTTAGGTACACCGCGATGGGCCTCAAATATGGCCGACTTAAATTCCGGTTTATCAGTGTCGTTCTAATTTTATTTAAAAAATGTGAAACTATGATGTAGGGTAGACGTGGGGTAGACTCAATAATTTGTTGTTTTATTTTACGTTGTGAATAAATGTTGGTAGTTATTAAAATTGTTATAAAAATATATAATTCTAATAAAAATAGATAAGTTATAATAAGTATTTATTAACACACACATCCGATACGCTACTGAAGCAGGTAAGTCAAATTAACGTACCTAAATTCTTTGACATCTAATCTTTGACAAGTAATAAATAAAAGCTAAAAATGCAAGAAAAATATATAATTTAGTTAATTTAAGTGAATTTCATAAATGATCGGTTTACTACACGTATGTATATTATATAGTCACTTACTAGCGAAAAAGTTGTTCCATTATTTCACTCAATTTTTTGCCGAGATCTACCGCACGCTACACAACCAACTATTTTAGAGTCTTTTCGATAAATCGCGATAGTGTCACTATTAATTTTAAGTTCTGCCATAATTTCCATCTAGATTTACTACCTTTATACAACTATCAGTAGTAGAATAAATAATAAATAACATAAAATAAGCTCCGTAAAGACTGACAAATCCACAAAATTTCAAATCAAATTCAAATGTGTCAAATGAATCGTCAAACAGAACTGTCAAGGATCCCCACCCTAGAGAGCTTTTATGGTGGCTTTCCGCCCACCATGCATGAATACATGGATAGCATTATGCTCCTTCCTTAGTCTTCTTATTCAAAGGTCAAAAGCAAAGTTGTTTTATACAATGTCACAATAACCTTAAAATGTCAAAATACTTGACACATAAATATACACTGCCCAAATGTTCGAAAAAAATGTGTAAAGAGTCATATTCATTTTTTTTGGAACCAGCTGTACATGGTGGCCAAAATTGGACGCTATAGGATATAGGAGATGGACGAAAACTAATATCGCTGTCTGGAGCTCAATTTTTATCAAAAACATGATGGTAAAAACCGCACATCGATTTCGGAGTTTCGGTGTGTTTTTCAAAAATGTGTTCAAAAATTGACGCGTCTCACAGTGCTTCGAACATATGGCTCTAGAGGACAAAAATCCAAAACTTCTCTTTTATTGTAGGCAATTTATTCAAACTAGGTTTATTTGACACAAATGATGAGTACTCTCATTGTACTAAATGATGATGTTCTTAGTCCCACGTTTATGAAAAAAAAATCTTATAAATAATAAAAATGTTGGAGCTGTATTCCATCTAAGCAAATAATAATTTATAGTATGAAAACGGTGTAAGTATAAAATAAATCCCTGTGATAAAAAGAATTGAAATAATATTAGAACATGATTCCTAAAATATAAACTTCATATAAGATAAAAATATTTTTCTTTAATGAAAAAAAAACATTAATGTTATATTTAATTTAAGAAAAAACTTAAGATACTATAAATTTACTTTAGGACAACAAAATGCATAGATCGTAACTACTCTGATTCAGAAGAATCACTGCTGACAGAATCTTCCAAATTTATAATATCCAAATCACAGGTAGATGAAGTATCCTCACATATAAGATATTTCTGTACATTATTTTCTAATATGTTACTTTTTCGCGTTGTTTCTGTTCTTTTTGTTGGTATGAGGGGTTCGGATGTTAATAGTTACCTCTTTAATAGACCATATCCATATAATATTTTTTCCTTTTCTTGGGTATGAGGTTTTATAATAAATTGAAAGATTGAAACTTTTTTTATGCGACGTTTCGCTCCAACATAGTGGATTTTTTCAGGCACAAGTGGTGTCTCATTTGACTGGAAGGTTCATCAATATCTAATAAAGAACACATTTTTTGAAGTACAAATAATTTAGTTCTTGTCCTTATGATCAAGCCAAGTATTAACCAGATTGGCATAGCTTATCAATTTTACTCCATCTGAAAAGTATTATAAAATAAAGTTCGTCGCAAGCAGACGCAGGTGAACTATACAAAAATTAAAAGTGTATGAATATGACAACACAAATATTCAATAAATACGATATGTTTTGATATGTTTTTTTTAAATGCCTTTTTGAAGTTTGAAAACGTAAAATGTTTATACCCATTTAAGAATCATCTTAAAAAATAAATAAAAACTAAACAATCACGAATTTGTTTAGAAATAAATTTAAAGTACATACCTTGTTTAACAATATCCATAGTAGTTTTCAATTAAGTACGTACCGTCTGACTTCATAATATACAGAACTACTATGAATGTTATTCTTTTCACTGATAAGATAATGATCGCAAAATTTATTTTTAGTGAAAATATTTGCTAACAAAAAACGCTGTTTATGAAAAATAATATACGGGATGGTTGAACATTGCTATAAGTATAAAATTACATATTCAGATATTAGTAAATTTTAACTTTTTTTTCGATTTTTGTCCATGGGACGAAGCACTGTGCGTCTTCCCGATTTCTCATATTTTTAACTGAAAGAAAGTTATCCAGGTTGGGGTGTTTTAGAATTGACACAATGTATGTAAAAATCTACAACACAAGCACAAACACGCGCAACTTTTTTTCTTAATATTTTCCATCAACTAACTACTTACTTTGTGATAATGTGAGGGCCATTCGCAGCCCAAGCATCTCCGTTAAAGTGTTCAACCAAATCATAAACGCAGGAGTTGACATATTGATGTCCTATGCCGTTACTACTAAACCCCATCACTCCATTAGCCAAGCTCTCGGGCTCTTCTGCTCCTGCAAAGTTTTTACTCAGTGTGTCCAAATTTTTCATTACTAGTACATCGAGATCCATGTATATTCCTCCATATTTCCATAGCGTTAAAATTCTAAATGCATAAAAATATTAATTTGTATCAGTGGCGGCTTAACCATAAGGTCAAATGGTCAATGCCCCCCAAAAAAATTAGAAGAAAATTAGGAAAACCCTATTTAAATTATACTTTTTGTAAATAACTTTTTTTCGTCCTAAGATATTCTAAACTATTCCCAAAAACCATCAATTTGTCAAATTTTCGCTTCAAAACGTTTTATTTTACCCATTTTCTCTACTGCCGGTCAAAATTTCATTTTGTCCTTCGTTCCCGCTATGATTTGCACGTATTAAACTCCAAATGCCGCGGCTCGTAACGCCAACAAGGTAAGGTATACTATGTATAGAAGATATAACGGTTTAAGGTGCGATAGATATAGTTTATTTTGGCCATTGACAGCGTCATTCATAAAAGAATTTCAGTCTTTGGAAAAATTTCGCCGTTTGGGCTGTTTGGGTGTTTATAAAAACTCGGGTTTGGGAAATATTCCTTGCTCAAAACTAGATTTGCGTATTTTTCTCAGGCATTGCCCGAATTCGACTATTGAGCGTATAATATATACGAACAAGGCGAATCAAAACTAAATGTTGTATTTTTCTGTTATTATTATTTTATTATTATTATTATTTACCTTAAAATATCACTTATATGCCATAGAAGATACTTCGATTCATATATTTGTTCTTCGGCCCAGAGCTTTTCAACAGGAGTTCCCTGAACGAACTTTTTCATATTGAGATATTGTAACTTTATGTTAGAATAAGACATTAAGTTCCTGATTAGTCCATCTGATTCGCTTTGGTCGTCTTGAAATACACCTAAATATTATTTGACGAAATGTATGTAATAAAGTTAAGTAACAATTTAAAAAAATATATATTTAAAGACATTCTTTATTCAATAGTTCTGTAAAAGTATGTTAATCTACGACAATGTCATTATGACACATTTAACATTGTCATTTGGATGTCATTATGGCTTTCATAACAGCACTAGTGCTATTATGAATTCATAATAACACGCAAATTTTAAAATAAGAAACAAGCAAAAAAAGGTACCTAAATACGTTTATTTATTGTAAACATTAATTATAATATCAGTACAATTGTTTAAATTAATTCCAGACGATGACAGGTGAGTTGAATTTTTAGAAAGTAAATTTATTTCCTGAGTGCTTGAACTTGTTGAAGACCCATCATTGCCAAAAATGTTACCCAAAATATTACCTGACACTTTTTTCTTATTTTCTTTGGAATTTTCTATATAGCTCTCTGCCACTGTATTAGAGCGCCAACCACCATGTCTTTTAACAGTTAAAAAATCCACTCCTGAATCTGCAAGCAACGACGCAGACGATCTACGGAAACAATGTCCAGTGTATTGTTGTGGATTTGGAAGACTTAGGAACAATACATTAAACTTAATTACATTTTCCATTTCTGTACCCCACAAAAAATCGAGTATGCTCTGTGTTACTTGGCCGCATAGCTATATATCTTCGAACCATTTCCACCATATTTATTCCTTCAACATTCCCTTTCGTTATAAAAAATCTCGTGATATCTTTGTTTTCGTAAATGGAATAATGACATGAATGCATTGTCCTTTATCTTTAACATTTTGCAGCTGTAGATTTGCCAACTCGATACGCCGGCAGGCTCCCGCAAGTCCCACTATCAATGAAACTTTTGTCAGGAAATAAGTTTTATCATCGGCTTCCAACAAAAAACGAGTTATGTCTTCTTTTCTTAAAATTCTCGATTTTTTTGTCCGAAATCCTTCCGATTTTCTTTTTAGAAATGCAATTAAATGGACGTACTTACTAATATCTGTATTTTCCTTCACTGCTATAATTGAACGTAGCATGGAATAATATACCCAAAGTGATGAAGCCTTCCTATGTTTTGAAAGATGTTCAAAATATGCCAGGAGAACCTTTTCATTACTACTATTCTTGATTCCTTTCCCTTTATACCAATCTTCAAGTTTTACATAGGCTTGATCGTACGTTTGTCTTGATTTTTCGGGAAGTAGGGAATCGACAACGTTTTGCGCAATGCCTTAAATATCCGTAGGGACACTTTCAGAATCAGAATCACCCATATTAATATTATTTTTTGCTTTTTGCTAAAACTGAAAGTTTAACACAAAACTGAACATCAATAATTGTGTTGTCAAAGTCAAAATGGAAACAGTCAACAAGCACGGTTACCACGGCGCGGCGTCGACTAATATGGGCACCTGATAATTTTGATTTTTAATTTTTATGAGGATATCTCTGATATTTTAAATTAAATCAAATCTCTTTGGATCGTATTGATTAAATTTTGAATGATACACGTTCGATACGAACTTTTTAATTAAACTTTTGTAACGTTACACGCGTTTCATTATGATGTTCGTATCGAACTTGTATCATTAATAACTATTAGGGTCATGTAAATGATTACTGGATTGTTGCCATACTAATACTAATTTATTCTACCTTCTTATAATATAAATTCATATTGTTCAATGGATTATTGCAATGGTTGTAAAATATTAAAACTAGGTTACATTAATAATAATTATTGTTAATAGCAGAGTTTACTGAATAAGCATTTCATTTGGTTGCACCACAGTTCAGTTTTGTAATGAAAATAAGAATTTTGGCAGTGCCGAAAGTTTAAAAAATAAGTACTGACATGGGGTACTATACCCAAATCATCAGGTCTCAAAAGTGGTTCACCCTTATAACTTTTTTTATTTTTTCAGATAAAAAAACGAAATTTAGTATGTTAGTATATGACATAAATTAGGATTGATTGATGTATTCAATTGTTTTCGGTCACCTTCTGTTTCATCGGAAATGACTACAACTTTTGATTTTTAAATGGCACCGTCGCACAGTGCTTCGAACATATGGCTCTAGAGGACAAAAATGCAAAACTTCTCTTTTATTGTAGGCAATTTATTCAAACTAGGTTAATTTGACACAAATGATGAGTACTCTCATTGTACTAAATGATGATGTTCTTAGTCCCACGTTTATGAAAAAAAATCTTATAAATAATAAAAATGTTGGAGCTGTGTTCCATCTAAGGAAATAATAATTTATAGTATGAAAACGGTGTAAGTATTAAATAAATCCCTGTGATAAAAAAGAATTGGAATAACATTAGAACATGATTCCTACAATATAAACCTAATATATGATAAACATGTTTTTCTTTAATGAAAAAGAAACATTAATGCCTATATTTAATTATATATATATATAATAAATTTACTTTAGGACAACAAAATGCATAGATCGTAACTACTCTGATTCAGAAGAATCACTGCTGACAGAATCTTCCAAATTTATAGTATCCAAATCACAGGTAGATGAAATATCCTCACATATAAGATATTTCTGTACATAATTTTCTAATATGGTACTTTTTCGCGTTGTTACTGTTCTTTTTGTTGGTATGAGGGGTTCAGATGTTAATAGTTATCTCTTTAATAGACCATATCCATATATTATTTTTCCGTTTTCTTGGGTATTAGGTTTTATAATAAATTGAAAGATGGAAACTTTTTTTATGCCACGTTTCGCTCCAACATAGTGGGCTTTTTCAGGCACAAGTGGCTGTCTCATTGGACTGGAAGGTTTGGATATCTAATAAAGGACACATTTTTTGAAATACAAATAATTTTGAGTTCTTGTCCTTATGATCAAGCCAAGTATTAACCAGATCGGCATTGCTTATCAATTTTACTCCATCTAAAAAGTATTATAAAATAAAGTTCGTCGCAAGCAGACGCAGGTGAACTATACAAAAATTAAAAGTGTATGAATATGTCAACAAAAATATTCAATAAATACGATATGTTTTGATATGTTTTTTTGTAATGCCTTTTTGAAGTTTGAAAACTTAAAATTTTTATACCTATTTAAGAATCATCTTAAAAAATAAATAAAAACTAAACAATCACGAACTTGTTTAGAAATAAATTTAAAGTACATACCTTGTTTAACAATATCCATAGTGGCTTTCAATTAAGTACGTACCGTTTAACTCCATATACAGAACTACTATGAATGTTATTCTTTTCACTGATATAACATAATGATCGCAAAATTTATTTTTAGTGAAAATATTTGCTAACAAAAAACGCTGTTTATGAAAAATAATATACAGGATGGTTGAACATTGTTATAAGTATAAAATTACATATTCAGATATTGGTAAATTTTAACTTTTTTTTCGATTTTTGTCCATTGGACGAAGCACTGTGCGTCGGTATTATTTTACTTTATTTGATAGAAAATGACACTCTGAATAGAATGACATATCATATGTCAACTTTTGACATTTTAGCTTAAAACCACCTTAATACCGAGGGTGCCATTTAAAAATCAAAATTTGTGGTCATTTCCGGTGAAACAGGAAGTGACCAAAAACCATTGAGTACGTCAATCAATCTTAATTTATGTCATATACTAACATACCAAATCTAGTTTTGCGTCCTCCAATAAAAATGTGTTAATTATTTAGATTTTTATTTTGTTTCGTTTTGTATGGCTTTAGGTTTTGAAGTTTTACGTTACACTGTTACCTAAAGCAATTTTGCTTGCTGTGGTATTATTCAGAATTATACTTTATTTTGTTTTATGTTTCGTGTCATTGTGTGTAAAAAAAGAAATATATGTTTTTAATTTATTGCGAAAAAGGAAAATTAGAGTAAAAAATTGAATTAAAAAAAGAACATCGATTCTCACTAAGATCGATTTTTTAGCTTGCGATTTTTGTATCGATTCGCGATCATTAATTCGATCTAAATCGATCCAAAAAAATCGATAATGACTTGCCTGGAGATGCGTAAAGCAGGTAAACTGTTCTATTTGGGTTCATCCTAGCCGCACTTTCTACAGCACAGGCCTGTCGACTTTTAATTAAGATTTTCTCGCTATGATACGAACTACAAGAAGTTTCCAAAAAGAAAATCGATGTATCTCTTACTATCTCTGCATCTAAAAATGTATGTCTTAAGAGAACTAACTAGTAGCAAAGATTATGTTAACCACACAGAGCTGCAAGCTCACAGGAAACTTAAGTCTTTTTTTGATTTAAATCATTTTAATAACTTAAGTCATTTGATTTCAAACTGAAACTGACTTTGATGATAACTGAAGTCTTAAAATTTAAGTCTTTCTGAAAATGATTTGTGATTTAAATCTTCATTTCGAAATAGAAAAAGATTTAAGTGTTTTTAGAAAAGACTTAATTCGTTAAAAAGATTTAAGTATTTTTGTAAAAGGCTGAAGTCAGATTTTTATACAGGGTGTCCCAGAAATAAGTGCAATTTTAACTGGTAGTATAGTTCAACACCGCAACAATCGCTAGAAGCAATTCTGGACTTGCAATCAATCAACTGGCTCATGAAGGATCTCGCCGCTAAGGGTGCCCTAAGATTAAGGGAATCCAATCTGTGGAACCAGACCAACTACGGTCACTCGAGGATATTGCCAGTGATAGGGAAAATCATGGTGAACACGAGTCCACATCTGCTAGATCAGGAAACGGACTATACGCTCACTAAACATGATTTTGGAGAAAAGATAAAGATTCGCATCCCGACAAGAGAAGAATGGGAAAGCAACCGAGTAATGAACACGCAAGAGATAGCACTCTACACAGATGCTTCCGCAAATTCAGAGGGCACAGGTATAGGCATCTTAGGGGATATAGTAATATACTCTGACAGCTTGGCCGCTTTACTAAGCATCACCATGTAATCAGTGAGATCGAAAACTGTTATGGAATGTCGAGAAGCACTGTCCTGGCTGCGTCGGGGCGGGGTTACTCGGTGCTGGGTGCCAGGCCACAGCAATGTGGTGGGCAATCAGGAAGCCGACAGACTCGCCAAAGACGGTGCCAGGGGAGAGGCCGTGGCAGATGACCCACCACTTGTGACGATCAACACACTGAAGGAGGCTATAGGAACTGCCATCAAAGCCAAGCAGCAAGAGACGTAGCAACACCGTGAGGACTGCGCTACAGCTCGAAGACTATGGCCAGTGGTAGATAGCAAAAAGACAAAACAACTACTAGAGCACAAAAAGCACCTAGTACGCATAATTGTAGGTGTCGTCACTGGAAACTGTCCCACGGGGGTAAACCTCGTGAGATGGAAAATTTCCGACGACGACTACTACAGAAAATGCGGAGAGGAAGAAGAAACCATAGAGCACCTGCTGTGCCACTGTCCGGCACTGGAATACCGACGCGACGCTTTAAAACTTTAGGAAGCTTTAAAGCTTTAAGGCTTTTTGGCGGGACTATAGGAAGCAGCAGAAGCTAACATCAGCGACATCGGGAACTTTGCAAAGAGCTGGAAGTGCTTTAACGCAAAGAAAGAATGAGATGAAGGTTTGGTAAAACAATACAGGGGTATCGCAATGGGCCCAAGGCCTCCGAGTGAGGGATCAAATATGATCCCTAACCCCAGCAACCTAACCTAACCTATAGTTCACCCCCCCCAGAAACACGCCCAAGAGGTTTTTTTCGCGAAATTTTTTTTTTGAAAATTCGAAATTTTTGAAATTTTTTTATTAGTTTTTAGTTAAAAAACATAATTTCGTGATAATATGGCAACATAGGTATTAGATTAAATTTACAAGAGAGAAAATCCAGAAAAGATCCAGTAGTTCTCAAAATTTTAGCAAAAAATATTTTTTTTTGGAAATTTTCAAAGTAAAATAACTCTTATTATTGTATATCTATCGTATTGTATCGATACTTATCGAGATCTACCACCCCTTAAAATACTTGCACTTAATTCTGGAACACCCTGTATTATAATATAATGATCAAAACATATCACCACTTTTTAATTAGACACGTATTCGATGACATCTATCTGTAATGGATAAATATAAATTACTACAAAATAGGTTAAATTTTATTAAAAAAAAACAGTTTTTGTGTATCTACAATCTACGAAAGCGTAGAGCTGCCATCGCAACAATGAAATATAATTTTAGCAAAATTTACACTTTTTCTGTAAATTTACAGATTTTCTGTAAATTTACACTTTTCCTGTATGTGTTAAATTTACACTTTTTCTGTAAATTTACACATTTTCTGTAAATTTACAGATTTTCTGTAAATTTACACTTTTCTGTAAATTTACACTTTTTCTGTAAATTTACAGATTTTCTGTAAATTTACACTTTTTCGTAAATTTACACTTTTTCTGTAAATTGCATGCGAAATTTACTACCCAGCAGAATGACGTCTCGGCATCGACCTGCTCGTTACTCACTAGTTACAAGTGAGCATTGTTCTGCGCTGATTAAGTTGCTATTGTGCCTAAGTAGTACATATATTCATCAGAGATTATGGACGAATACATTAAAACCTACTTTCATATCGGATTAAGTCATAAAGAAATTTTGACATGTCTGCTAGAGGATGGTTATGTTAAGTTTACATCATTTGCAGACGACAGTTTACGTCATCCCAGAGGTGGAGGCCATCAGATCCTCTTGCAAACAGTAATGCATCGGAAAGGGTGAAAATACTTTCCGGGTCGATTAAAAGCATATTAGAAAACATATTAAACAAAAAAATGCCATACTATTATATCACACACATTCGAAATTTAATACATAATCCCTAAAATAAGAGATCGCCCGATTTCCTGTACTATGTTAGACCCAGGTTCAGTATAGACGATGAGGAATAATTCTTCAAGTATTTTTGAAGAGAGTGTGGTTTCAGAACAAAATATATCTTTGAATATACTGGGATATTGCTTAATCTTTTCATATAGTCCGCATGTCTTCAATCCTCCAATTAATTGCCGCAGTGGTTCCCTAATTCTGTCTTTACTAGTAAAGACTTTTGTGAATAAACTGGCGTAGAACAGAATTCGATGGGAACTACTCGTAGAATAACGCACCACAGTTGCCACTAACGCATAAATTAACAGAAAAAGTGTAAATTTACAGAAAATCTGTAAATTTACAGGAAAAGTGTAAATTTACTGAATATCTGTAAATTTACAGAAAATCTGTAAATTTACGGAAAAAGTGTAAATTTTGCTAAAAATATTTTTCAATGTTGCGATGGCAGCTCTACGCTTTCGTAACAATCTATACTAATATATAAAATACTGATTAATCACGATCCTGCTCAAACCACTCCACGTAAGAAGCTCAATTTTGGCATACAGGTTGATTATAGGGTGTATAGGTTCGATAAGAAGGGATTTTTCGAAATTTCAGTTCCAAGAGGGTGAAACCACCCCTCAAATATTACAATATTTTTTATTTAAAAAACGGTCAAGTTTCCGAAAAAACGCTTAAACAAGTATATTTTATTTTGTTTTTTTACATATTTTAAGATTTTTTAAAAATGTATACAGGGTGTTTCGGAAAATCTGGTCATTGATTAATCACGATCCTGCTTAAAGCGCGTAAAAAGCTGATTTTTGGAAAACAGATTGACTTTAGGGTGTAGAGATTCGATAAGAAGGGATTTTTCGAAACTCGAATTCTAAGGGGGTCAAATTTTCCCTCAAATATTAAAATATTTTTTATTTAAAAACCGGTGAGTTTTTCGGAAAACTCTTAAACACGTATATTTTATTTTGTTTAATTCAGTTTAATTTATACAGGGTGTTTCATAAAATATGATGGTTGAATAATCACGATTCTGCTTAAACTTCTTGACGTTTAAAGCTGGTTTTTGGCAAATGGATTGACTGTGGGGTGTAGAGGTTCGTTAAGGAGGGGTTTCTCGAATCTCAAGTTCCAAGAGGGTGAAAACGCCCCTCAAATATTTCAATATTTGGTATTTAAAAAACAGTTAGTCTTTCGGGAAAACGCTTGGACAAGCATAATTTATTTGTTTTTTTTACATATTTTGAAATTTTTTAAAAAATCATACAGGGTGTTCCAAAAAGTTGGGTAATTTCTTAACCACGATTCTTCTTAAACTGCTTAACGTAAAAAGCTTATTTTTGGCAAACGGATTTTTCGAAAGTCAAATTCCAACGAGATGAAACTACCCCTCAAATATTACCAAGTTATATAATAATATCGCCATATTGTTTTTTCTCATGCTGACATAAATGTGAGAAAATTTTATCCAGTTTGTATGTTAATGGAAATTCTTGCTTTGCTTTATCATCACCATTACAAATGATTAATTCGACGCGAACGAAGTCGCTGGTACACGCTAGTCTACAATAAATTAATAATATCATACTTCTGAAATCGCATAATTGGCAATGCAAGAAAATTAATATTAACATTTAAAAAAATATACTTAAATTGAATTCTGATTGTCTTGACTTGAGGGTAATTATATTGATTTAAGTTATTTTACTGACTTAACTTAGATCATCATGATTTAAGTCAAAAATATAGACTTAAAAGTCTAAGTCATAAAAACAACTTAAATAACGTTATATTGTCTTTACAAAATGACTTGCCTTGAAATAAAATGACTTAAGTCAAAGACTTAAGATATAAATCATCTTGAATTTAGAAATGACTTAATTCTTAAGTCTTTTTAAAACTGACTTGTTGCAGCTCTGTAAACCACATTAATATACATTGGCCAAAATTAGTGCATATATTGTTTAAAAATATACGGAAAGGAATTTAAAGAATCTTTTTTTATACATAGCTTTGATAATCTGTAATAAACATTTGTTTGTTAAAATGGATATGGTAAACAATGTTTATCGTTCAGACCCAATATTATTGCAAATTCTTGCACATTTCGATTTGTGGTCTCTTGGGTTTCAGAAGAAATTTGACCATTGTTTTGGCCTTAAAATGCCTAGAAACATTATTTCACAGTTTAATAGAGTCAGAATAGTAACACTGTCTCAACAGGGCTACCTGCAAGTTGCAATAGCTGAAATTGTAGGAGTTAACCTAAGCGATGTTTCGCGAATATTAAAAAAAATCAGGGAGATAAACGAGGTTACAGACCGGCCTGTAAGAGGTAGAAAGAGAGTTACTACTGCTTTGCAAGACCGTCAAATATCCCTAATTGCACTACGCAATTCCCTGCTTTCTAGTACTGGTATTAAAAATGAGTTAGCTCGCCTTGAAGGAGTAAATGTTTCAAGAAAGACCATAGCAAGAAGACTCCATGTCAGAGGATTACATTTAAGGAGGCCTCTACGTGTTCCGAAGCTTGCAGCACAAAATTACGCGACTACAATGGGCTGAGGAGATGAAAGCAAATGGACCTACTTGGGATTTCGTTATGTTTAGTGATGAAACAAGAATAGTCCTAGTGTCAGACTCGCGACGAACTTTGGTCTGGAGAGCATCTGGAAGACGACCTAACCGTGTCCCGTTTCAAGGGGGAAGCATTATGGTATGGGCAGGTATAATGCACGGTGCTCGAACTCCTCTTGTTTTTATTGATGGCACAATGACAGGTGCCTCATATCTTAGAGACGTTTTAGAGCCTATTGTGCGTCCATTTCGAGGGACAGTGGGGGATGAATTTTCATGGACGATAATGCTCCTCCCCATCGCACTTTAGCGGTTCGCGAATTTTGTGAGGAAGAGGGTATAAGAAAACTGTGGTGGCCACCGATGTCTTCAGATATGAATGTGATCGAGCATGCTTGGAACATGCTAAAACTCCATATTGCCAAAAGGAATGATCCCCCCCGTACCTTAAATGAATTGAAAATTGCTGCGCGCGAAACATAGGAAGCCATTCCTCAATATCTTCTGGACAACTTAATTGAGAGCATGTCACGTGGTCTCACAGCTTGCATTGAGGCTCGAGGAGGCAATACAGACTATTAGTTGTGAGAAATAATTAAAATTGTTTTCAGTATTTTCTGTTTAAAATGAAATTTGTTTTTGTTGATTTTCACTCATTATGAAATAAAATTATAATAACAGCCTAGTTGCACTTAGATTTTTAATTTTATATTAATTAGTCATGTAGTAAGCCAATATGTCCAAAAATATAAAAAGAATCATATTAGGTCCAAAATAAAATAAAAATATCGTTATATGCAATAATTTTTGCCATGTGTGTAGCTCACCTTTTACACTAGGAAGCGTGTCGAAGACGGGTAGAAAATGGCAGTACAATTCATTTTCTTCCGGATAAAACTTATGATAATGCTTATAATAAGTTATAGACTTGAGAAACATAACACACCGAATTATGAAAAACGCAAACAAGGATGCCAGCAATAGCTTGATAAACGTACTCTTATAATGTGTTGCTCTCATAATTTGTTTGTTGTTGAACTCTTCCACTTTTCTAGTAAAATAAATTACGCTCCATATGCGTAGTGATTTTTCCCTTTATTTCAATTTAACTAGTAATTTCAGAAATTTTCGCCTTAGGCAGGAAATACACGAGCCGGTGATACGACGCTTTAAGGTGCGTATTCACTATCCGAACTAACAAACGAATGTTCATTCGTTCGTTCGGTAGTAGTATGGACGGAACCGGATTTTAGAACCAAACGAAAACACCTTAACCTATTCGTTTGCGAACGCCTTTAATGTACCCACTCGAACCGGATGGCCGAGCGAACGAACAAACGAACGACCGCATGCGTTCGGTCAAAGAATATTATAGTTAACACAATCGTAGTAGAATTATCTTTGGTTCGGTCCACCGTCCAAATATACCGAATTCCATTCGTTCGCTCGCTCGTTCGTTCGTTCGTTCGGATCTTTGAATAAGAAGACTAAGGAAGGAGCATATCAAAAATCTTAGGTACACCGCTATGGGCCTCAAATATGGCCGACTTAAATTCCGGTTTATCAGTGTCGTTCTAATTTTATTTAAAAAATGTAAAACTATGATGTAGGGTAGACGCGGGGTAGACTCAATAATTTGTTGTTTTATTTTACGTTGTGAATAAATGTTGGTAGTTATTAAAATTGTTATAAAAATATATAATTCTAATAAAAATAGATAAGTTATAATAAGTATTTATTACCACAAACATCGATACGCTACTGAAGCAGGTAAAGTCAAATTAACGTATCTAAATAATTATTGACATCTAATCTTTGACAAGTAATAAATAAAAGCTAAAATGCACGTAGAAAATATATACTTATTTAGTTAATTTAAGTGAATTTCATAAATGATCGGTTTACTACATATGTATATTATATAGTCACTTACTAGCGAAAAGTTGTTCCATTATTTCACTAAATTTTTGCCGAGATCTACCGCACGCTACACAACCAACTATTTTAAGAGTCTTTTTCGATAAATGCGATAGTGTCACTGTTAATTTAAATTCTGTCACATTTTCCATTCAGTGATAGAATATAGGACGAATTTATTTTTAGGTTAAATTTATAATACTACTAAATAATTCGAATTATTAATTCGATTGTGAAATATGAATTATTACTAATTATTCGATGGTGAAAATAATTCGATTATTCCCATCACTACTCGAAACGGATGGCCGAGCGAACGAACAAACGAACGACCGCATGCGTTCGGTCCACCGTCCAAATGTACCGAATTCCATTCGTTCGCTCGCTCGTTCGTTCGTTCGTTCGGATAATGAATACGCACCTTTACGCGCGCCTTGTTCCCTGAATATGAATATACAGGGTGTTTCAAAAACATGTGCCATCTCTCGTGGGGAGATTCCTCACGTAAAAATAAGATTTACTTTTCATATCAACATAGATATAGGTTCGATTCTGCTTTGTTTCGTAGCTACAGGTTGTTAAAATCTTAATATTTTTTCAATTTATTATAATTTTCTTCCAAGTTTTAGGGTTTAGAATGAAATTTTGAGGGTAAAAGTTACTACAAATGCGACATATTTTAGAGCTAAAAAAATATGGGTTATCACTGGAATATTTTACTAAAAGAGGCATGTACGCCACTGACTTTTTTCTCTTGTTAGCGAAGTCACAAGCGAAGTAGTGCAAGCTAATAAAAGTAAGTTATATATTTCCTGACACTGACATTCGTTTTGGCATTTTAGTTTTGTCTTACGAATTTTTGGTTTAAATGAATTATGTTGTTATACTTTAAGCTTAAAAGTTTTACTTAATTTTACGTTATCGTTGTCAATTTATGGAAGCATATCTAATATGGCTGATCGTGGCAACTTGTATGATTAATTATTCGCGGGTTCAAGCAGTCATAATAAACAATGAATTTTTTTAAACATACTTTATAATACTGCTGTCAAGTATCTATCACAGCATTTTTGATCGTGTTATTTTTTTAATAAAAAAGTTTTCTAAGACTCTGTTGTAGGAATTCGGGGCTCGAAAATTTCTGGCAACTCTGCGTTCATTGCTCCTTCAGTAAAGTAACACTGCTTCAGTGAGACTGTCAAGTGAGAACCCGCCTTTAGGTAAATATGAATATTCAACACATTCAAGAAATTCGCGGTAAACTATTTATAAACTAACTGATAAACAGATAAACAGTTAAGTATATGTATAAAAAAATGTGAATAGTTAATTTTAAGGTTAACGTGGAGTTGTTTTTAAAAACATTTATTTAACAAGCGTTACAAGGATTTCTCTTGCTTGGCGTCGTGCAGCGACTTAAATATGAATACAAGTGCTGATGAATATAGTATTTCTACCGTATAATCGAAAAAAAACCGCCGTCAAAGAGAATGGTTGGGGAATAATAATAGATGATAATTTCGGCTAGGTCTATATTTCTAGATGGTCTATATCTCTAGATATCACAAGAACGGGCCAATTAATGGCGTCTAGGGCTTGACCTCGTCAAAATTATCATCGATTGAGATTCCACAGCCGTCTTCGACGCCGTTTTTCTTCCAACATTTAGAAAGTGTTTTATATTCCTTTTATGAAAATTAATGTTCTCTAAAACTTGTTTTCTCATTAAACACTAAGCCTACTTTCTGCGCTTGTGCTTTTAATGAGAAGAAAACGAAATTTATGGTGTGGTCAGATAGGGATTTTGAGAAGGGAAGATGTCTACATATAGATTCTGAGAGAGGTAAACGATAGAAGTTTGAGGAAGTAGATACATTCACATATCTAGGAGCCGTATTTCTAAGGAATCCAAATGTAACTCAAGAAATTATGGCAAGAATAATGACAGGAAATAGATGTGTCAGCGCACTACAGAAAATTATTAAGAGTAAGAACATTTCTAGAAGTTTTAAAATCAGAATGTACCAAACAATGATACGACCAATAGTGCTGTATGCATGTAAAACGTGGACGTTCAATGTAAGGGAAAGTTCGAGGCTAGCTACTGAAGAAAATTTTTGGAGGAAAGAAGATAGACAACATATGGACCAGAAGAACAAATGAAAAATTAAAGCTATATCGGGCACCGAGTATAACGGGAGCAGCAAGAACACAAAGACTGAGATGGCTGAGACACATTGAAAGAATGGCTGAAGCAAGAATTCCTAGTATGATAATGAAACGTGAAATAGGTGGAAAGAGAAGGAGGGGCAGACCGAGAATCAGATGAAAAAAAGATGTATAAGAGGACTTGAGAAGGATAAGAGTGGATGGGTGGAGAATAAAGGCGAAAGGCAACTAATCAAGCCATGAGGCTTTTACAGCTATACCGGGTGTTGCATCGTCGAGCGGGACATAGGAAATCCCATGTAAATTTTAAAGGGGTCAATTATTGGCTTCCCTAATTATTTTAGAGAATAATTCTATTTAGGTTTATCGAAGAGCACTAAAACCCACATTCAAAAGAATAACTTTAGATGTTTTTGATTAGCCCGTTTACGAGGTATCTCCAATTTCTTTTTAAATATTTCTCCTTTCTTATGGCCCTGTATTTACTTATAAGCACCAGTCAAGGTAAAAGATAACTGTCAAATGAAGTTGTCATTTCAGAAATTTATCTATTTAGTGCTTTATTATTATTATTAAAAACTCATACCTACATCGAAAATATTAGCCATCAATTACACTACCGAAGAAAAAGTATTGATGATTAAATGGTATTAACAAGGAAATAGTTATCAAAAGGTGGCGGACATGTTTGCTGCTCTGTATCTGAATAGACCGATACCTGGAAAATCTACAATCGCAAGGAATATCCAGAGATTTGAGACCAAAGGTACCCTAATAAATAACTGCAGATCTGAAGCAAGGCAGGAACAAAGAGAAGATGCAAGAAATGATACCGACTTGGAAGTTTTATTGTGCGTGGAAGAGAACGATGGAAAGATCAGCACAAGGAAACTTGAGGATGAAATAGGAATAGATCACACTACAGCATTTCGAATTTTGAAACGACATAAATACTATTCTTTCAAACATGAAAAGCACCAAGAGCTACGAGATGGGACGAAATACGGCGGCAGGCGTTTTGTTTTGATATGATGGAAAGAGCAAACACGGATAGGGAATTTTTAAAAAACATATGTCATTTCAGAAATTTATCTATTTAGTGCTTTATTATTATTATTAAAAACTCATACCTACATCGAAAATATTAGCCATGAATTACACTACCGAAGAAAAAGTATTGATGATTAAATGGTATTAACAAGGAAATAGTTATCAAAAGGTGTCGGACATGTTTGCTGCTCTGTATCTGAATAGACCGATACCTGGAAAATCTACAATCGCAAGGAATATCCAGAGATTTGAGACCAAAGGTACCCTAATAAATAACTGCAGATCTGAAGCAAGGCAGGAACAAAGAGAAGATGCAAGAAATGATACCGACTTGGAGTTTCATTGTGCGTGGAAGAGAACGATGGAAAGATCAGCACAAGGAAACTTGAGGATGAAATAGGAATAGATCACACTACAGCGTTTCGAATTTTGAAACGACATAAATACTATTCCTTCAAATATGAAAAGCACCAAGAGCTACGAGATGGGGACGAAATACGACGGCAGGCGTTTTGTTTTGATATGATGGAAAGAGCAAACACGGATAGGGAATTTTTAAAAAACATATGTTTCACTGACGAATGCACGTTTACCTTAAATAATGAACCCAATGTTCAAAATTATCGATGTTGGAACAAAGAAAACCAACACAGGTTTGTCGAAACAAGGACGCAATATCCACAGAAAGTAAATGTTTGTGCAGGGATATTCCGACACAATATTATCGGGCCATTATTTCTTACGCGAAATTTAAATTCAGAATATTATTTGGAACTACTCGAAAATCATATTTTACCTGCTTTACATGATGCCGCTAGGGAAAATCAGGAAGTTTGGTACCAAATGGATAGCTGCCCGGCACATAGTACCCTGGCTGTTCGGGAATATTTAGACAATAGTTTTAACGGAAACGTTATTGGCCTAAATCATACAGTAAATTGGCCAGCAAGGTCTCCTGATATTTCGCCAAATGATTTCTTTCTCTGGGGCCATTTAAAAAACAGGATATACAAGGATAAAAAATACCCAAATCTAGACGAGTTAAAAAATGCTATTTCTGCCAAATGCAATAGAATTTCAGTTTACCAACTAGCGAATGTAAGAAGAGAATTTTATGATCGCCTGGGTTATTGTCTAGCAGTCGATGGCAAGGAATATTTGAACATCTTCTTAAATCCTAAAGTTCTAATAATTTAATAGTACCTAAATTAATAAGCTATTGAATATATTGTAATCTATACTAATAATACTATAATTAGCCTTGTAATTGATTACTTTATTTTACTTTAATTCATATTAATTTGTATTTATAAATACATCTTTAAGATTTCCGATGTAGGAATGAGTTTTCAATAATAATAAAGCACTAAATAGGTAAATTTCTGAAATGACAACTTCATTTAACAGTTATCTTTTACCTTGACTCGTGCTCATTAGTAAATACAGGGCCACAAGAAAGGAGAAATATTTAAAAAGAAATCGGCGATCACTCGTAAACAAGCTAATCAAAAATATCTAAAGTTATTCTTTTGAATGTGGTTTTTAGTGCTCTTCAATAAACCTACATAGAAGTATTCTCTAAAATAATTAGGGAAGCCAATAATTGACCCCATTAAAATTTACATGGGATTTCCTATGTCCTGTCCGACGATGCAACACCCCGTATATATTATATATATAAAACTTGTTTTAAAAAATATAACAAATTTAATAACAAAAAGTTTATTCTAAATAAATAGTACATAAATTACACAAGTTATACACAATAAATATTTTCATTAACAGTGCAGATCATTTCTGTATATATCGTCAGTTTTTTTTTATAAACGTATAATTTATCAGAAATAAAGTCAATAAAATTAAAACAAAATTTCATTAAAAATATCTCTTTAAATGCCGAACAGTTCCCGGACAGTACTTTCTGGCAAAGTCCAAATAAGGCACATCGTCCTCGATGGGAATTTTCGCGTGGTAACTGAGTTTATTCCATACGTGTATGAGATAACTGTCTTGCGTTTTCTCCTTAACGTTGGCGAGTTCGCTATTGTTGAAAAACTGTTCCCATGTATGGAACGGAATGGCATAAAAAGCTTCTGGAGGATATATGTGGAAATCTTGGCAGGATTGGCCGATAAAGTCCTTGAAGTCTGCATTGCATAATCTGTTGCCTAAACTAAAATAAAATATTTAATTAATAATATTTGTTTAATTTTATACAGGGTGGCGCCTCCCATACGACGCGGATGCTCCAAGGAGAACTGTAGTTTATATCGAAATGAAATTTTGGGAGTTTAACGATATTGAGAAGAACTTCAACGCATAAGTCACTGAACAGCTATCTAGCAACTACCGCACCTGATCGTTCAATCTTGTGGCAAGTGAAAAAATGCGTAAACATCTAGAAATAATAAGAAAAAACAGCAAATTGGTCGAAGGAATTTATCCTTATCATTTACTCGGATAAATGTTTAAATAAACTTTTCAAATTTCAATCCGTCATATCTGCTCAATGACTCTACCGATTTTCAAAAACGAAGCCGGAAAGTATAGAGAATAAAAAGCCCTTTTCATTGCGGTACCACTTGACCCCCCTTCCCATTTGAAAAAAATTGAGGGGATGACACCCCCGCTTAGAGGGTTGAAGATTTTGCAATCATTTTTGGGGCAAACGTTGTCCCCCTCATAAACAAAATTGACGTGTTTTTGAATTTTCTGAAAAAAAAAATTACCCTGGCCGTTATGCCTAGCGGAACGTTTTCGATGGGCCACCCTGTATATCATATCGTCCTATTGCTGCCAAAAGTAACTAACTAACATTTTTCCTAACAACCAAATTCAATCACTAACTATGTTTTGAAGCGGAGAATCGATTGCAAAAGTCATTAACTACGATTTCTGGCTATTTATGTTTTATTTTAATACCGAATAGTTACTAACTATAACATCTTTATGCAATGCAATTCATCTTTAGACGCATTTTTCTCGGAAGTAACAAAAAGTAAGTTAGTGACTTTTGGCAGCAATGGGACGATATAATATATCGTGGAGTGTTCGATGTGGGCACTTCCAACAGCCACATTCATTTCTCCCATGTTGTCGACAATAGTTGGTAGAGTTTTGTAAACACTGTCTTTAACACATATCACCATAAAAAAAAGTTCACACTACAAAAATCAGGAGCATTTAAGTATTCTATTAATTGGTTAATGCACAATGCATTCACCAACTAATAGAATCATATCGCTTTTCTCTGGCGTATGATAAGTATCCATTTTCGGCAAATTTCTGATAATTTGTGTTTTGTTTCAACTAAGTTTATTTTTATATATAGCAATAATATTCCCCACCATGTTATACGGAAGCAAAACCTGGGTGCCGCGCCGTACCGCCGGCACATAAACGCATTAAACAAGTTACAACAGATACATCTTAGACAACTCTTAAGAATCAAATGGTACTACCATGTTTCTAACGTATCGGTCCTTGAAAAAGCTACCTGCGAGAGCACTGAAGTCATGATTACTGAATCCCGCTTAAGATGGGCTTGTCACGTATGCAGGATGCAAGAAAACCGCCTACCAAAATCTCTTTTTTACGGTGAGCTTGGTTAAGGTAAGAGGAAACTGGGTGGACAACTCAAAAGGTACAAATATATTTTCCACGAAGGAGTATATGAAAAAGTTTATGAAAAAGGCAACAAAATAATGAGGTTTTTTAATGTCCCCAGTGCGAAAGAGAGATAACATCACGAATTAGACTTTTCAATCACAGAAAAGCTCTTAAAAGAAAACATCCTGCGTAACCATATTCTGATGCGTGTCAAATACTCGTTAGCGAGTAATGGCAGTAGTACCGCATGATCGAAAAAAAAACGGCGTCAGCGATGGCTATGAAATGAAGATCGCTGTCATTTTATATGTAAACTAGCGTGTACCAGCGACTTCGTTCGCGTCGAATTAATCATTTGTAATGGTGATGATAAAGCAAAGCAAGAATTTCCATTAACATACAAACTGGATAAAATTTTCTCACATTTATATCAGCATGAGAAAAAACAATATGGCGATATTATTATATAACTTGGTAATATTTGAGGGGTAGTTTCATCTCGTTGGAATTTGACTTTCGAAAAATCCGTTTGCCAAAAATAAGTTTTTGACCTCAAGCAGTTTAAGCAGAATCGTGGTTAAGAAATTACGCAACTTTTTGGAACACCCTGTATGATGTTTTAAAAAATTTCAAAATATGTAAAAAAACCAAATAAATTATGCTTGTCCAAGCGTTTTCCCAAAAATCTATCCGTTTTTTAAATAACAAATATTGTAATATTTGAGGGGCGTTTTCACCCTCTTGGAATTTGAGATTCGAGAAACCCCTCCTTATCGAACCTCTACACCCCACAGTCAATCCGTTTACCAAAAATCAGCTTTAAACGTCAAGCAGTTTAAGCAGAATCGTGATTACTCAATGGTCATATTTTATGAAACACCCTGTATAAATTTATAAAAAATCTTAAAATATGTAAAACAACAAAATAAATTATACGTGTTTAAGAGTTTTTCCGAAAAACTCACCGGTGTTTAAATAAAAAATATTTTAATATTTGAGGGATTAGTTTCACCCCCTTAGAATTCGAGTTTCGAAAAATCCCTTCTTATCGAACCTCTACACCCTAAAGTCAATCTGTTTTCCAAAAATCAGCTTTTTGCGTCAAGCGCTTTAAGCAGGATCGTGATTAATCAATGACCAGATTTTTCGAAACACCCTGTATACATTTTTAAAAAATCATAAAATTTGTAAAAAAAGAAAATAAAATATACGTGTTTAAGCGTTTTTTCGGAAACTTGACCGTTTTTTAAATAAAAAATATTGTAATATTTGAGGGGTGGTTTCACCCTCTTGGAACTGGAATTTCGAAAAATCCCGTCTTATCGAACCTCTACACCCTAGAATCAACCTGTATGCCAAAATTGAGCTTCTTACGTTGAGTGATTTGAGCAGGATCGTGATTAATCAATATGTCAGTCACTTAAGGATTTTATATATCAGTATAGATTTATATGGGAAATGTCATCGATAGTCATTTCCCAGCCAACTGGATGCCGTGTTTTTTCAATCATACGGTAGTAGTAGTATTTGGGAGAGTACCATGCATTAGCGCCAATCCACTAGTATACACGATAGACGGTGGCGCCTCTCATTCAACGCGGAGGGCGGAGGCTCTAAGGAGAACGACAGTTTGTATTGACATGAAATTTTGTGAGCATATTAAGATTAATTTAGTGCATTTTTTTTAAATTATAAAGAGTTCTAGTATATGGTGTCCCTAAAAAAAGTTACACATCTAAGTACAATGTTTTGTTGTAATGGAATACTGGAATAATATACTGCGTGTTCCATTTAAAATAAAGGAGTAACCTGCTCTTAAATGTGACCAATGTTCAATATTAATTTTACCTGACCCTGTATAACTTTTTGGGTCAAGTTTTAATTTGATTTAGAGTACAATGTTTTTAACTTCATATTCTCCTAAAATTGCTTACTTCGTGACAACCAAAGGCCCATTTGCACTCCACGCATCCCCGTCAAAGTTTTCAGCCAAGTCATAAACGCAAGAGTTAACATACTGATGTCCTATCCCTTTACTACTAAATCCCATCACGCCACTGGCTATGTAATTTGAGTCTTCTGCACCAGCAAAGTTTTGCTCCAGAGAGTCCAAGTTTTTCGTTACTATCACGTCGAGATCAATGTATATTCCTCCATATTTCCATAGAGTTAAATATCTGAAAGTTGAATAAGAAAGTAAATTTATTACACTGAAATGTTTCACTATCATATTTTTCTACAAAAATTCTTCCATACATGTCGGTTATATTCCCCAGTTTTAACCAAAAGGCAGGATTAAAAACGTTACTTTGAAAATTAAAAAAGTTTTAAATATTTTTTATTGTAATTCTTCGCTTTCTTTTTGTAGCTGTATATTTTGCTGTATTATAATAGAGTTGTTCTTTATACGTATAATTTAGTTACCTTAAAATGTCACTCATATGCGGTAAAATATATTTTGAACGATATATTTTCTCGCTAGTCCAGAGCTTTTCAACTGGCGTTCCTTGAACGAACTTTTTCATATTGAGATATTGCAATTTTATATTAGAGTAAGCCATTAAGTTCTTGATTAGTTCATCCGATTGGGTATGGTCATCTCGAAACATACCTAAATAATAAATGCTTAATTATTTTAATATTTAACAATATCTATGAAATATCGATTAAATGTCAGTAATAAATAGGTTCATACGGTTATATAAAGTTCTACACATTCAGAACATGATGGACTGCATTGTTGAACATAACATAACTGTCATAACTAAACATATGTTGACTAAACTAAAATTGTTGTATGTTCCAAAACACCGAAATATGCACTCCTCAGAATTAACAACAAGGTGGTAGTATCGTCCATAAAATATCTAGGAGCCCTCGTTAACAATGCTTGCAATCCCAAAATTGAGATTTTGGCAAAGATCGAACAAGTCAGACGTACATTTGCTTCTATAAAAATTCTCTTTTCCAGCCGAGCTCTATCTTATTGTTTTTGGTCTTCCACCTCCAGTATCCAAAAACATGCTATTTAAAAGTTAGAAGTTGTAGTCATTTCCGGTGAAACACGAAGTGACCAAAAACAATTGAATACGTCAATCAATCTTAATTTATGTCATATACTAACATACCAAATCTCGTTTTTTTATCTGATAAAATAACGTTAGTTATAGGGGTTTTGGGACATGATTAGGTATACTCTAGATTCAAGAAAATATTTTTATCAGTGTAAACACTGTGTATAAGTGTATCATTAAGTGACACGGAAAATTATAATACCATTTTTTCTCAATACCTATTTTTTAGTTGTATAGCAAATATAAAATTTAAAAAGAATATCTATTGTATGTCTGTAACTGTATTGGAACAGAATCATCTATTTTCCCTTTAACTATAAAGGATACTTAAACACTTACCAGGGGATGCATAAAGTAGATAAACCGTTTTATTTGGGTTCATTCTAGCTGCACTTTCAACAGCACATGCTTGCCGACTCCTTATTAAGATTTTTCCTCGATTATAAGAATTACAAGACGTTTCCAAAAAGAAAATCGACGTATCTTTCACTATTTTATCGTCTAAAAACTTATTTTTAAAAAGAACCAGTGGCCAAAAATTCCACGACTTCAATCTCTTACCTTTCACGCTGGGAAGTGTATCGTACACAGATAGAAAATGGCAATAGAGGTCATGTTTAGGCACGAAATATTTATGGTAACTTTTAAAAAAATCTATAGACCTGATATAAATGATAGACTGAACTACGATAAACAGGAATAACGAACAAAATAAGATTTTTATACGAAATATCATAGTTTGTTTGTTGCGAAGATATACATTATTTTTTTTAAACTGCATTATGGTTACTGAAGCTCTGAAGTTTTACGCACATTCTGTTATCTGCTAAGTAGATTAAAAATTATGAACATTATCAATTCTTTTTAAAATCGATTGCAAAAGAAAAAACAACAATTAACTGATAATATTGTACACACAATAACAAAATGACCCAATACGAAAAAAAATTGCAGTTAGAGGATATTCCTGTCATTTCTTCATTTCCTAACTTTAATTTTATATTTTAATTATTATATGATAACTTACTTTAAATATTACATGATAGCTGAGTACTCGGCCGAGTATTATATGTAAAGATGAAAAAAATTAGTAACCAACCAATCTCAGCGGAAATGTGTAGATAATTGTCTCCTATTTAACCCTTCAAAACTCCCATTCGATCCCAGCGACGGAAGTTTGAAAGAAAACGCCGCCATCTTGGATTTTTTCGTTTTTTTTTCAAATATCCCCGTTTGTATAAGTTTTTTCGAAAAAAATTAAAGTAATTGTTTTTGTAGAGAATTCAATTTCCACTTCTTATAATTTTTCTTCTTAAGTAAATATTAACGGAGATAGAGCTAATTTTTAGATTGTCAAAAATTAATTTTAGTTGGTCAGCAGGTGCAACATCTGTTGATTGGATATATACTTATTTTGAACCTTTTCCCACCCATACTGCAAAGGATTTAACTTGTTACCTATTCATTCTTGGAACTAAAAAGCAGAACTTCACATTTCCAATAATTTATTGTATCTTTACCGTTAAGAGGGTACGTAGCTAAATTATAGATAGACTTAATGGCTTATCTTGATGCAATTCTTGCAGTATATAGAGTGTATCTCAGATGATTAAAACTTTTTATATAGCTTGATACAGTTTTAAAACACAATTTAATCTTCGAACCCTAATAAAGGGGAACGAAAATGAAGTTCATGATGACATCATAGCAAATTTTGTTGTAGTTATAAGAACATATAGGAACACAATTTTTTCCAATCCTTATTTTTTATTTTATAATGCTTAAATTTATACTTGGTTTGTCTTTTTCAAAATAAAGGATCCCAATAACTATCGGGGAATTTCGGTCACCAGCACCTTGAGTCGGCTTTATGGAAGGATACTGAGGAACCTAATTGAAGAGAAATAATCCAGCTACGAAGAAGAAGAGCAGAATGGTTTCAGAGGCGGAAGATCATGTACAGATAATATCTTTGCATTGAAACAGATAATCGCGAAGAAATCTGCAATGAACCAGGAAGTTCATATAACATTTATCGACCTACAAAAAGCCAATGATACAGTGCCAATAATAATGTTATGGGAAGTATTTCACGAATCCAGAATTAACGCAGCTCTGATAAAAGCTGTACAAAATCTTTACCATGGAGGAAAATCACAAATAAAAACGGCAAACGGTCTCTCAGAGGAAACTGCTATCACTAAAGGACTCCGACAGGGTTGCTGTGTATCCCCAACATTATTTAAAATCTACATTGCTAAGGCCTTACATTTATGAAAATAAAATGTCACGGAATGGGTATAGAACTAAATGACATATGCTTATACACCTTGCAATTTGCAGACAACCAGGCCATAATTGCAAATGACAAAGATGACATGGAATATATGGTGCGAAAAATAATTGAAGAATATTCTAAATGGGATCTCACAGTAAATACCGAAAAACGAAATACCTTCCAATAGGAGCAAATACAGAAAATCTTATTTTGGACAATAATATGGAAATTAATGTATGTGGAGAATACACGTACCTGGGTTCTATATTTACAGGAGATGGAACGGACGATAGAGAAATAAACAACAGAGTAATACAGGCACGAAGTGTTATCAGATGCATAAATGGGATTCTATGGAGCACTGAAATTACAAAGGACAGGAAATTTAATATATACGAGACATTAGTTAAAAGCAGATTACTCTATGGATGTGAAACATGGCGACTCACTGAAAGGAATAAAAGGAAATTAGAGACAACAGAAATGGACGCCATTAGAAGAGCAATGAGAATTTCACGAAAGGATAGAATCAGAAATGAAGACATTAGACTACAGATGGGAATAGAAGGAACAATAATGAGTGATATAGAACAAAAACAATTAATATGGTACGGCCACGTTCAGAGAATGCAAAACGAGAGAATTCCAAAGCAAGTATGTCATTGGATACCACCTGGTAAACGAAAGAGAGGACGTCCCAAGAAAACATGGATGGAAGGAATCAGAAGATCAATGAGCGAGAAAAATCTGACCGAAGATCAATAGGAAAATCGCACAAGGTGGAAGTTAGGCCCGAATGTATATATATATATTATATATATATAAATATATATATATATATATATATATATATATATATATATATATATATATATATATATATATATATATATATATATATATATATATATATATATATATATATATATATATATATATATATATATATATATATATTGTCTTTATTGAAAATACACTTTTAATGTAAATACGTATTATAATTGATTGGTTCAATAAAAGGGGCGGAAATTTTCTAATAGATAAACTAAAAAATAAAAATAGCTCTATCTCCGTTAATGTTTACTTAATAGAAAAAAAAATTCTCTACAAAAACCGTTTCTTTATTTTTTTGAAAACAAACTTATACAAACGGAAATGTGTTGAAAAAAAACGGAAAATTTCAAGATAAGTAGCGGCCGTTTTTTTTAAACTTCTTCCACTGGGAAAGAATGGGACTTTTGAGGAGTTAAACAGGAGGTAATTATCTACACATTCCGGATGAGATTGGTTGGTTACTAATTCTTTCCACCTTAAGGTTGATTCTCACTATACCTTCCGTTTCTATTCCATATCCAAGCCATATCCGTTCGGTATTTTTTTTATTGTATTGACGCTATACGTAAGCTTCCGTTCCGTATCAGTTCCATACTTGTTATTGTACAATTTATATCATTACGAAAGTTTTATTTTAAAAATTTGTCTTCTGAAAAAGGTAATAGATTTTTTTATAGTAAATCTTCTGAAAAAGGTAATAGATTTAATTAAAAAGTGGAAGAATAAAAAAATATCAGCAAAATTTTAACAAAGCTGGTACAAATGTAAGAACTTGACAACTCTGTTTCTGATACGCTTCAGTCCGTCCACCAAAAAAATGTATGGAAGGAAAGGATATGGAACGGAAGGGAAACGGAACGGATAGTGTGCATTGTCCTATTCATTTACATGATATAATATATATTTTATGTAATTGCTTGTCAAAAACTGCTTTTCTGTAGCTACTTTTTTGAGTATTTAATGGGTGCAGAAAATGGGTATATAAATATTAGTGAATAATCCAATTTTCGGCAGATATGCCGATAATTGGTTATACGCATTGAACTGTATTTAGGTTGATTTTGTCTTTAGCCCTTAACGTACCAAAAGAAGTGTTTGGTCATTCTATGGAATATAAAGCCACGAGATTTTACACCAATTTTCGGCACCCTTTTTTTTATTAGAATTAAACCTAACTTTGATATAATAGTAGTGCCGAAAATACATACACTCACGTGCCGATAATTAGAAATCTAATTTTTTTCAGATTTAAATTACACGACAATGGAAATGGAAAAGAAAAAACGGATTCTCTATTCTGTGGAAGACCTAAATAAAGCTGTTAACGCCATTCGATCTGGAATGCCATTTAAAGCAGCTAGTAAGATATTTAAAGTACCCAGGTCGACCCTACAAGATAAAGTTAAAGGCAGAACGGCTTTAGAGAAGAAATGTGGACCAGAAACCATACTAACAAAAGAAGAAAAAAATGTATTGGCATGGCTATTTCGGATTGCAGCCCGTGGATTTCCTGCAACAAAAACAATGTTGTTAGATAGTGTTCAGCTATTGGTTAAAGAACTGAATAGGCCGAATAATTTCACAGACAATAGGTCTGGACGTAAATGGTACGAATTGTTTCTTAGAAGGCATCAAAAACTGGCTCCAAGGATTTCTCAAGACCTCTCATCAGCAAGAAACAACCTTACAGAAAATCGCATTCGTCAGTGGTTCATAGAAGTAGGGGCCTTCTTAGAGGAGTCAAACTATCTTCGTATATCTGATGATCCTGGTCGCGTATTTAATTGCGACGAAACGGCTTTTTTCCTCAGTCCCAAAGGAGACAAGGTTTTAGTTAGAAAGGGTGATAGAACAGTTTACTCATTTGTAAGTAATAGTGAGAAGGAGTGTCTAACGACTTTGGTAACTTGTAGTGCCTCCGGTCAAATTTTACCATCAATGATCGTTTTTAATTAAAAAGAGTTCTCAAATCAATTGCCGAAAAAGTACCAGAACATTGGGGTATCGGAAAGTCAGAAAATGGATGGCTGACCGGTGAAACATTTTTTGAGTACGTCGCATGCAAATATATTTCATCCTTGGCTAGTCGCCCAAAAAGTTCAGTTCCCCGTTATTTTGTTTTTGGGCGGACTTGGGGCGGACATACATACCAAATACCAAATATTTGACGTTTAGTTTAAAAAAAAAACGTATTTTTATTTTATTTTTATATTTTTATGAATGAATGTTACCATATTTTATTAAAGACTAAATAGGTACCTAATATTAGTATTTAGTTAATGAGATTCAAATCATTCAATTCTGTGCCGATAAACGGATCTTATGTTTGCCGAAAATTGGAATATTAATTTATTTTAGTATGCCGATAATAAAAGCACAGCATATTTTGTATTTAAATACGTTTGTAAATTTTATGGTCTTTTTTAGGTTTAAATAAAAACATTTTTCGTAGTATGATACCTTTAATTAGCCAAATTAATAATTAGAATGTGGGATCTTCGGGCTTCTATTTACTAAATTAATTTAAATGGTGCTTCTGGTACGCAAAGGCCCTTAAGGTGCCGATAATAGGTACGTTTACCTTATTATATCAATAAAAAATCAATATATTTCACAACAAGACCTATCTCAATATTTTAATTAAATGCAAGTCGATATAAATAAGTATATTTAGAATCATATAAACGAGAACAATAGACAAGATAAAAATTTAAAAAAGCACTTGTTCCGATACTTTTCATCACGCAAGACTCCACTGTGAGCACTTTTTAATTATTTTAATTTGGATGCACTAAGTGTGGAATTTTCCAAAAAACCAATTTAAAATTTTTTAAATTTTCTAATATTTAAAAAAAATATTTTTTTTAATAAAAATTAAATATGTATCTCAAAGTTTATTTATTAATAGTACCTAATTCACAGAGTACTACAAAACTATTTTAAAAAACAAGCTACTTGAGGACATTAATAAAGAATATTTAAAAAATATACTAAATAACGTACTACAACAAATCAATATAAACAGTATTTTACGAAATCGACTTTTTAACCCTGCAATGTAAGAAATAAAATTGTTCTTATTATATGGTCACTTTGCTATAGTACTTATTATGGCTTATCAGGAGGCTGCAATGCTTTCCGAATAATTTTCTAATATGTAATATGTAATACTATAATACAGTGTGTCCGATATTATCTGTCGCAATGAGATACCAGGAAGTTTCCGAAAATGTACAGTAAAAGAAAAAACACCACTTTATTAAATCATGTGAACGCTGTAAATGAAAATTAACAATTACGTCAAGTCGTCAAAAATAAGTAATTATTGAATTGTTTTAAAATATGCCTCGCTTTATAAGTCAAAATGCTTGGTTTTTAGAAAAATAAATCTGCATTCCAAATAAAGATAGCTCCTTAAAAAATATTTTACTACTGCCTCAAGTAGAGAAATTATTTTTCCAAAAATTATTACCAAATTACCAATATACAGGGTCCGGCAATAGTGCGTCAGGCATCTGTAGCTCCTAGGATAAAAACTTGAGAATTTTGTTTAAGTGCAAACCTAGAGTATGTACTCAGGATGTATTTCAGGAAAATATTTTAACTTCTATAGGGTGGCTCAAAAAGTGTGAGTGGACCTGGACGATTTTTTTTAAATGGAACACCCTGTATATTATTGCATTTTTGGCTTCCTTTCAGATCACTTTACATAACCCTAAAAGAGATGAATAAATATATTTCGATAGTTTCAGAGATATTAAAAATAAATAAAAATATGCATTTTTCAGCCCTTCTTTAAACATATTATTAAAAATACAAGAACTGTTCTCAAATCAAAACTATATTAGGTATTTACTTTAGATAGTCTGTTCTTACATTGCTATAAATATGGTAATCGTATATCATACAGGATGTTCAATATTCTAAGCCAAACTTTCTAAGATATAAAATAATTTTTCTTTGTTATTTTAAATGGAACACCCTGTATATTATTTTTTTATTAGATGAAGGGCGGGGCGTATCGAAGAAATGCGAGAGCGGATTCCGATACGTTTTTCTGCGCCTTCGCTTCAAGGGGAAGTTTTAGTCGGTAGGCGGACTTGTCCGAATCCGACACACGCCGGCTATCAGAACACCAGGTCGGTATGGTCTTTTGAAGATTTTTTACCCCTCCGAAAAAAAAAAAATATATGAAGATCAATGAGCGAGAAAATTTGGTTATTCGCATTGAACTGTATTTGGGTTGATTTTGTCTTTAGCCCTTAACGTACCAAAAGAAGTGTTTGGTCATTCTATGGAATATAAAGCCACAAGATTTTACACCAATTTTTGGCACCCTTTTTTTTTATTAGAATTAAACCTAACTTTGATATAATAGTAGTGCCGAAAATACATACACTCACGTGCCGATAATTAGAAATCTATTTTTTTTCAGATTTAAATTACACGACAATGGAAATGGAAAAGAAAAAACGGATTCTCTATTCTGTGGAAGACCTAAATAAAGCTGTTAACGCCATTCGATCTGGAATGCCATTTAAAGCAGCTAGTAAGATATTTAAAGTACCCAGGTCGACCCTACAAGACAAAGTTAAAGGCAGAACGGCTTTAGAGAAGAAATGTGGACCAGAAACCATACTAACAAAAGAAGAAAAAAATGTATTGGCATGGCTATTTCGGATTGCAGCCCGTGGATTTCCTGCAACAAAAACAATGTTGTTAGATAGTGTTCAGCTGTTGGTTAAAGAACTGAATAGGCCGAATAATTTCACAGACAATAGGCCTGGACGTAAATGGTACGAATTGTTTCTTAGAAGGCATCAGGAACTGGCTCCAAGGATTTCTCAAAACCTCTCATCTGCAAGAAACAGCCTTACAGAAAATCGCATTCGTCAGTGGTTCATAGAAGTAGGGGCCTTCTTAGAGGAGTCAAACTATCTTCGTATAACTGATGACCCTCGTCGCGTATTCAATTGCGACGAAACGGCTTTTTTCCTCAGTCCCAAAGGACCAAACCAAACCAAAGGAGACAAGGTTTTAGTTAGAAAGGGTGATAGAACAGTTTACTCATTTGTAAGTAATAGTGAGAAGGAGTGTCTAACGACTTTGGTAACTTGTAGTGCCTCCGGTCAAATTTTACCATCAATGATCGTTTTTAATTAAAAAGAGTTCTCAAATCAATTGCCGAAAAAGTACCAGAACATTGGGGTATCGGAAAGTCAGAAAATGGATGGCTGACCGGTGAAACATTTTTGAGTACGTCGCATGCAAATATATCCTTGGCTAGTCGCCCAAAATGTTCAGTTCCCCGTTATTTTGTTTTTGAGCGGGGCGGACATACATACCAAATACCAAATATTTGACGTTTAGTTTAAAAAAAAAACGTATTTTTATTTTATTTTTATATTTTTATGAAATGAATGTTACCATATTTTATTAAAGACTAAATAGGTACCTAATATTAGCATTTAGTTAATGAGATTCAAATCATTCAATTCTGTGCCGATAAACGGATCTTATGTGTGCCGAAAATTGGAACATTAATTTATTTTAGTATGCCGATAATAAAAGCACAACATATTTTGTATTTAAAAACGTTTGTAAATTTTATGGTTTTTTTTAGGTTTAAATAAAAACATTTTTCGTAGTATGGTACCTTTAATTAGCCAAATTAATAATTAGAATGTGGGATCTTCGGGTATTCTATTTACTAAATTAATTTAAATGGTGCTTCTGGTACGCAAGGTGCTTAAGGTGCCGATAATAGGTACGTTTACCTTATTATATCAATAAAAAATCAATATATTTCACAACAAGACCTATCTCAATATTTTAATTAAATGCAAGTCGATATAAATAAGTATATTTAGAATCATATAAACGAGAACAATAGACAAGATAAAAATTAAAAAAAAAGCACTTGTTCCGATACTTTTCATCACGCAAGACTCCACTGTGAGCACTTTTTAATTATTTTAATTTGGATGCACTAAGTGTGGAATTTTCCACAAAACCAATTTAAAAATTTTAAATTTTCTAATATTTAAAAAAAAATATTTTTTTTTTTAATAAAAATTAAAAATGTATCTCAAAGTTTATTTATTAATAGTACCTAATTCACAGAGTACTACAAAACTATTTTAAAAATTCAAGCTACTTGAGGACATTAATAAAGAATATTTAAAAATATACTAAATAACATACTACAACAAATCAATAACATCCAGTATTTTACGAAATCGACTTTTTTTCAACCCTGCAATGTAAGAAATAAAATTGTTCTTATTATATGGTCACTTTGCTATAGTACTTATTATGGCTTATCAGGAGGCTGCAATGCTTTCCGAATAATTTTCTAATATGTAATATGTAATACTATAATACAGTGTGTCCGATATTATCTGTCGCAATGAGATACCAGGAAGTTTCCGAAAATGTACAGTAAAAGAAAAAAACACCACTTTATTAAATCATGTGAACGCTGTAAATGAAAATTAACAATTAATAATGTATCAAACGTCAAGTCGTCAAAAATAAGTAATTATTGAATTGTTTTAAAAATATGCCTCGCTTTATAAGTCAAAATGCTTGGTTTTTAGAAAAATAAATCTGCATTCCAAATAAAGATAGCTCCTTAAAAATATTTTACTACTGCTTCCAAGTAGAGAAATTATTTTTCCAAAAATTATTACCAAATTACCAATATACAGGGTCCGGCAATAGTGCGTCAGGCATCTGTAGCTCCTAGGATAAAAAACTTGAGAATTTTGTTTAAGTGCAAACCTAAAGTATGTACCAGGATGTATTTCAGGAAAATATTTTAACTTATATAGGGTGGCTCAAAAAAGTGTGAGTGGACCTGGACGATTTTTTTTTAAATGGAACACCCTGTATATTATTGCATTTTTGGCTTCCTTTCAGATCACTTTACATAACCCTAAAATATGAATAAATATATTTCGATAGTTTCAGAGATATTAAAAAATATGTATTTTTCAGCCCTTCTTAAAAAAATTATTAAAAATACAAGAACTGTTCTCAAATCAAAACTATATTAGGTATTTACTTTAGATAGTCTGTTCTTACATTGCTATAAATATGGTAATCGTATATCATACAGGATGTTCAATATTCTAAGCCAAACTTTCTAAGATATAAAATAATTTTTCTTTGTTATTTTAAATGGAACACCCTGTATATTATTTTTTTATTAGATGAAGAGTTAAAAAATGAACATTTTTTGTATTTAGAGTATTTCAAAATTTTGAACGGTTTCGCAGATACGCGCAGTATTATTTCATATGGCGCTTTCAATGGTAAAATACGAGAGAAAAATCAATAGGTAGCTTTGATAAAAATTTACTGTGGAAAATGCCATATGAAATATAAAACCGCAAATATCTGCGAAACCGTTAAAAATTTTGAAATATTCTAAATACAAAAATGTTCATTTTTAATTCTCCGTCTATTGAAAAAATAATATACAGGGTGTTCCATTTAAAAAAACGAGGAAAAATTATTTTATATTTTAGAAAGTTTGGCGCAGAATTTTGAACATTCTGTATAATTTACGATTTTCATATTTATAGCAAAGTAAGTACAGACCATCTAAAGTAAATACCTAATATAGTTTTGATTTCAGGACAGTTCTTGTATTTTTAATAATTTTTTTAAGAAGGGCTGAAAATACATATTTTTTATTTATTTTTTAATATCTCTGAAACTATCAAAATATATTTATTCATATCTTAGGGTTATGTAAAGTGATCTGAAAGGAAGCCAAAATTGCAATAATATACAGGGTATTCCATTTAAAAAAATCATCAAGGTCCACTAACACTTTTTTGAGCCACCCTATAGAAGTTAAAATATTTTCTTGAAATACATCCTGGCACATACTTTAGGTTCGCACTTAAACAAAATTCTCAAGTTTTTTATTCTAGAAGCTAAAGATGCCCGACGCACTATTGCCGGACCCTGTAGAGACAAATTTAATACCTCGATTTTTTGGACTTTACTTTTTCAAAATTTTATAATCTATTTCAAAAAATATATAAAACATATAGGATGGGGTAAAAAAGATAAATAATTATATTTTTGAGATATAAACAATAAAAAATAGCTTGCACAAATCTTTAAGTGTGTCTGGGAAAATATATATTTTTAGAAGTTATTACAAATTTATTTTGCAAATATTAAAATAAAATGTAACCTAACCTAACCTAACCCTACTAATTTCCTAATATCATGGTCCCATTTCAGATTCGGTCTTCCTCTAGGTCTCTTAATTCCTTGTGGGTACCATGCTATTATTCTTGTGGTCCGTTTGTTGTCTGTTCTTCTTGCCAGGTGTCCTGCCCATTGCCATTTGAGGGATTTGACTCTCTGGATGACATCTATCTATTACCTGGGTCTTTTGTCGTATCGTCGTCTCTCTTGGTTATTCCCAGATATTTCGTTCCATTGAGCGTAGTGCGACCTGCAGTTTCCTATGATATCCGTTTTAAATGACCAGGGTTCGCATACATATGTTATGGCATTTTAGTTTTGAATATGATTGAATTGCTTCCGTAAGTACTCCATGGTAACTTAATTCTTCTGTTGATTTCTGATAGTAGATAAGAGAGCAAATATAATAAACTATAATTTACAAATTCAGCAAATAATAAAAATAGGTGTATCTTGTTGGGACTTTTTTATAATCTTCCACATTTTCTTATAAAATCAATCAATCATTATACGGAATTATAGTTAAGGAAAATTACTTAATTCTCAGTAAGCAGAATTACGCATCTTTCAGCAATAAAAACCTTAAACTAATCCCTAACGAGTTTGTTGGTAAACGGGCTAAATCAATTAAAATACTTAAAGATAAGCCGTGTGAAATTCAACTCATTAGAATTATTATTTTTGATTTTACCTCCTGTTAAGATTTAAAGAAATATCGTTCAAAAAGTTGTGCAGCTTGAGTGGATTGATAAGTTCTAAACAACCAATTGCAGTATAATTATGGGAAATAATGATAAGAATGTCTAGCGGTGTTATTAGACAATTTCTTTATTGAAATCAAGTCGATTGTGAAATAAAAAATAAATAAAATTTGCTTGACAAACATTTTTATTTTAAAAATATCAATTTACTAAATTATTTTTAATTCGATAATTCAGAAAAATATGCAAACAAATTAAAAAATTAAATTTGAATTGCCTTTATATTTAAATTTAAAACAAAATAATAAAAAACATATCATCAATATTTAAAATAAAGGAACAAAATTTAGGGTAACAGGTTTTATACTTAGGTTTTATATCTAAATTATTTTTCTATCAGTGATGGCTTAACCATGAGGTCAAATGGTCAATGCCCCCCCCCCACCCAAAAAAATAAGGAGAAAATTTGAAAAACTTATTTAAATTATACTTTTTGTAAATCACTTTTTTTCATCCTAAAATATTCAAAACTATTCCCAATATCTCCAATTTTCGCAAATTCTGGAATTTGGGAATTTGGAAAATCGTGCGGTTAAAATAACTGATTGCTTAAATTTCAAAAAACGTTTAGAGAAACAAATGACTTAAAATATAAAAAATGTGAAATAAAACTTTTAGAAATGTGTATGTGTAAACATAATTTATATTTTTATGACATTATTATTTAAGTGTCTTTTAAATCCTACCGTGGAAAATTTGTGTAAAGAACATTGACTGGATTTTTAATGAAATGGCACTAGACCACCTGTTTAAAAATGTAAGGGTAGGTTTCATTTTAACATAATTTGTATTTATTTTTAGATTTATTTTCATTTGACTAAACGTACAGGGTGGGTCAAATTCGACGCTTTTAACGGATAACACCCTTTTCTATAGGAGATAGACGAAAACTAATACCGGTGTCTGGAGCTCAATTTTTATCAAAAACATGATGGTGAAAACCGCACATCGATATCTATTACCGTTTCGGAGTTACGCGGTGTTTTTCAAAAATGTGAATTTTTAACAAATTGCTGTAACTTTTTTGCTATGGAAAATTTTCTATTTTTATGAAAACATTTCCAAAGCACCTTTTTACGTGGAATTTTATGGTTTAAGTATATTTTTTTAAAATTAATAATGTAACAGTAGTTATCAACAGAAAAAATGATTTTTTATTTGGGACGCTCTGTATATTTTTAATCAAATGGAAAGAACTTAAACTTACCTTTCCAATAATATAGCACACTTGATATTTTGTTATAATCCCCTTCGAAATACAGAATTTTTAAAAGTTCGCCACTTTTAACTAGTAGGCTTTGGACCCCTTATTGATGATCTGTCCCCTATAACGGAACTCGAAAACATATTTTTCCAGCAAGACGAGGCACCGCCTCAGAACGCTGAAGTTGTCAGTTAACTTTTGCAGCTAATTTCGAGAATAATTGATTAGCTAACTAAGATCCCAGCCGTTGGCCGTCGAGGCCGCCGGACTTGGATTGCCTATGGATTTTATCTTTGCTGAAGAATAATGCTTCTTATCTTTAAATTGCCTGTATAATCTAGACAAGAATTAGAAATACTATGTAGGGTATCTTTCATCCCCATTGAGTTAATGAATTCCGCGAGAAATATTCAAAAACGGTCCCGTCTGTCCATAAGTGAGGACGGTTAATATGTCGAATACCAAACACCTGTAGCAAAATGTCGTTTTGGTTTGCTATTAATTTTTATTGTTATTAGTTATAGTATAGTTTAAAATGTGTTGATGCCGTTAAATATAGTTTAAATTGTTATAAAATTCTAAATCTCTCATTACAATTATTATTTTTATTTTAATTGCTGCTCACAGTTACAATTTTTTTGCATTACAGCCGGCGCGGTTCAAAGCCTACTTATTCAAAGTGAGCGAATTTTTAAAAACTCTATATCTCGGAGAGGAATCGAGCAAAATATCAAGTATGTTATATTTTTGGAAAGGTAATTTTAATTTCTTTTCAATGAATTAAAAATATACAGGGTGTCCCATATAAAAAAATCAAATGTTCTATTGATAATTCTTAAATTATTAATTTTAAAAAATTATACTTAAACCATTAAATTCTACGTAAAAAAGGTGCTTTGGAAATGTTTTCATAAAAATACAAAATTTTCTATAGCAAAAAAGGTACAACGATTTGTTAAAAATGCACGTTTTTGAAAAACACCCCGTAACTCATAAACGGTAACAGATATAGACGTGCGGTTTTCACCATCATGTTTTTGATAAAAATTGAGTTCCAGACACCGACATTAGTTTTCGTCTATCTCCTATAGAAAAGAGCGTTTCCCTTTAAAGCGTCCAATTTGACCCACCATGTACAAGATCCTTGTAAGAAAAAAATTAAATTTGGTCGCGTCTTAAAAAAAAGGCGCAATATTTTTAGATATTGACCTCCCTACAATAATAACCACGAGCCGCCACTGTTTTCTATTCTCATTCACCCTATACATATACCTACCGATCTGGTCATCGTAACTGCGTGGTCAGGATTTAAGTGTGTAAGTAAGACAGTGATGGTAGACAGTTCAATGAAAAATCAAATATATTAAAAAGAGATAAAAGTTGGGTTCGTTGGGTTCTTCTAGGCGGTATTGCCGGATTTTGCATCAAAATCTTAAAACCGCGCAAGTAGCCGTTTACGACAAATGTTGCATCTAGGGTTGGAATTTTATTTTTCACAATTAGTTACTCATTGTACTACAGCTGTAATAGATATATTTAGCTTAGATATATTATTTTCATTTCAGTAGCACACATGAAAGTTTTGAAAATATAGTTTTTTTCTATACACGTAAAAACCGGCAACACTGTATGACGCTATTTATTTTGTCTCTCTGTCTGTCAACCGGTCATTTATATTTATCTCTATCGCATGCATTAAATTACCAGACCACGTAGATGAAGTGTCCAGAATAGTATAGCAAGTAATACAGACAGCCACTGTTTTTTAATATAATTAAATCTGAATATGATTAGTATACCTTATAATTATTATACCATATACATATATACAGGGTTGTCCACCACTAACGAGTATTGTAAATAAACTATTAGATTTTTACAAATTGTAAGTCTTGTTAAGTTATTTTTACAAGATACAGAGGGTCCCAAATAAATAAAAATATCAAAGTTATATTTTTTTAAACGGAACACCCTGTATGTTATTACATTTTTTGTTTCTACGATTAAAATAAAGGTAAATTTGAATAAGGTTTACCGCATTTTAATCTTACCGTTTATGAAATATTTTCACTTGTAAAATTGCAGTAAAAATAAATTTTAAGGTTTTCTCCAAATAAGGGTATCAAAGTTTTTAATACTAAATATTTACTGAAGTTTAGTTATTGATCAGTTATTGTGTTTCAATAATAAGATAATACTACCTCACAGAGTGTCTAAAATTTATTTTAAATAATTTCTAGCTTTAAACGGCAATAACTTGTTTAATTTCAATGGAACACCTTTGTATATTGTTGCGAGCCGGTGTGGACTCGACCTAACCTCACAATATGGCCTGCCCTCGGATGACCTTAACATCGCATAGACACCGCAATGATTCATTCGTTCGAGAAGAATCGAGACCCACTAGAATGGACTAGTACATAAGAGAACATTCGAAAACCTTCTCTATGCGTCTAACGATCTATGGACTATTCTAGATTTCTTTACCTGTCGGTATAAAAGCCGGCGGCGGTGGCCTACAGGGGGCAATTATACAGTTGACGCTGAAATCAAAAATAAATTCTTAGTTATAATCGTTTGTAAATAGTTCTATAAGTCTTTTATCGTTATTATTTTGTTAATTAGTAAGCAAATAAATAGTGTTTAGATAAATTGTGACTTTCTATCCACACGGAACCGACGAAAAACGTAACAACAATTCGGTGTCGGAAGTGGCGTGTGTGATAGACAAAAAAAAAAAAAAAAAAAAAAAAAAAAAAAAAAAAAATTGTTGAAAGACTTGAAGTGTCCGAACTGAAATGCATTTTGGAAGAGAGAGAGTGCGAGACAGATGGAAGGAAAAGCATTTTGCAAGCTAGACTGAGAGACGTTTTGGTGGAGGAAGGTGAGGATCCTCACACATTTTGCTTTGAGTTTGAAGGTGACCTTGACTCGTGTCTACAAAAATTAGAAAATAAAATGACAGAGAATTCTCAAAAATTAGACGACAACTTGAACAATTTGATCAATAAAGTAATTAACTTGGAAGACAGTTTGAAAGATAAGATTATGGAAAATTCCCAGGATTTAATTAATATTTTAGAAGATAAGATCGCAGAAAATTCTAAAGACAGCAATACGTAACTAAACGAAGTACTGAT